ACCCCAGGCCTCCGGGTCCCCAGCCCCTCGTGCTGTCCCACACCTAAGGATCCCCTAATGCAGGAGGCAGAGAGCAGAAGCCCTGGTCCAAGCTCATCCCTCTCTCAGTGGCTGCTGGGGCAGGTTGGTGCTGTGGCCACCATGTGCTCCTCCCTAGCTGACCCTGGAGGGTGCACCACTGACCCCTGGGTCCCGGGCTGTCCCCAGGACTCATGCGTTTCCACTCTGCTTCCCTCCAGATTCGCCCCTAAGGGGCTGGGGAGCAAGGACACGCGGGTCTGACTGCCTCATGTCGCCTCCAGTCCTCCTCCCTTCCACACCCATTTGTTACCTCGAGGGGACTTCCTTGCCCCGTCCCATCTTCAAAGGGCTTTCCTTGCACCGGACCCCAGGCCACTACGCCTCTCTTGAGGACGACGGGCATCCCCCCTCCACTCTGGGCTCTTGATGTTGGTGCCCAGGCCGAGCTGGAGGCCGGCTGGCAGAGCAAGGTGCTGTGGGTTTGTGGTCCTGGGGGCACCCCTCGCGGCACTCCTCCGTCTATCCCTGATTCCACGGCCGCCCCCTCCCTCCTCGTCCCCCTCCCTTCAGCCCTTGGCTCTGCGTCTGGGGCAGCAGACTTGCTTCCGAATCAGCCATTCTCAAGCATTTTGGCTTCAGGCTCCCTTTACATTCTTGAATTATCGAGAACCCCAAAGAGCTTACGTTCGTATGGATTATGCATGTCGGCGCGTACCCTATCAGAAATTAGAGCCAGGGCAGCCCGGGTAGCTCAGCAGTTTAGCGCCGCCTTCAGCCCAGGGCCTGATCCTAGAGACCCGGGATCGAGTCCCACGTCGGGCTCCCTGCATAGAGCCTGCTTCTCCCTCACCCTCTGCCTGTGTCTCTGCCTCTCTCTGTGTCCCTCATGAATAAATAAATAAAAATCTAAAAATAATAATAATAAATAAATAATAAATAAATAAATAACAGTAATGTTTTAAAAAAAAATGAGAGCCAGGCGTTTCAAAAACAGTCATCCATTCACTTAAAAATAACAGCAGTAAATCGCTTACACGTTAACGTAAGCAACCAACGTTGTTAGGGAAAGTAACTTTTTCCAAAACAAATGAGGAGACTGGCATGTTCTGTGTTTTTGGAAATCCCTTCAGTGGCTGGGGTAATAGAAGATGGTTGAATTGCCGTCTTGCTTCTGTTTTGAATGTGTTATAATATGTTGTTTTGGCTGAAGGATTTGAAGAAAACCTGTCCTCGTGCAGATACGTAGTTGGGGGGGAAGGGCATGTTTCAGTTGTCTTCCCAGATGATTCTGGACATCATGCTTTGATACTACGTGGGAACCCAGTAGCAACCGGTGATTTTGTTTTTCAAGATTTTATTTATTTATTCATGAGAGACACAGAGAGAGAGGCAGAGACACAGGCAGAGGGAGAAGCAGGCTCCCTGTGGGGGAGCCTGATGCGGGATTTGATCCCAGGACCCCAGGGTCACGCCCTGGGCCGAAGGCAGACGCTCAACGGCTGAGCCCCCAGGTGCCCCCTGCATGGTGGAATCTGAAAGCAAGTGTAACAATGAACTTTTCCTTCCCCGTTAGGTTAAAATCCATTGCTCTGTCCTGCACTCGAAGTGCATCTTGTATCCATGTGCGATTTGGTCGCACCATATACAGTTTCCAAATGGTGACACATCTCATCTGTTACCCCCCCAAAAAAAAATCACATGGAATACTACCATCACCGCCAACCTCCTCGGCAACCCCTACGTGATGGACACTGTCAAGCTCACAGTGGCAGACCTACATTTCCCGACATTCTTCTTCATGCTTGAAAGCTTGAGTTTTGTCATTGGCCACAAACATTGTCACTTGCTTTTCCTCGAGGTGACGGGCTCCCTGTGTTCATTTCTAAGGGAACGTCTGACAAACGCCCAAGTCAGAATAGTTCATCTTCCAGTTGTTCTTCGAAGTAAAAATGAGGCTTGGTGAAAAAAGAAAAATTCTCGTTCACGTTGGAGCTCCAGCAGTGGCCTGCTTCCTCGCATCAAGACCTTGGGGGTGATTCGGGGTGTAGCAGAAATGCTTTGAGTGCATACTAATTCCTTCACACCGGATGTGGAAAAGACATGTGCTCAGGGGTCAAGGTTGAGGAAGATGAACGGCTGTTACTGCAGCATCAAGGACGTACCTTTCATCGGGACACGCTTCATCAAAGACATGCCCGTCTTTACCTTTGTGGCACGTACTGCAAGGGCTGCTGGGACGGTCTGCACCTCTGCCTTGACCCCTGCTAAGGTCCCGCCGTTGCTTCTGCACCACTGGTGCAGGTGCCAAAGAGCAACCGAGACAAGTACCATCTCAGCATTGTTACTAAAATAGTGGGGACCAAGTGGAGCCTCTGAGAGGGTCTCGAGGGCCTCCAGCGGTCCCTGTACGACACCCCGAGAACCACTGTTCTCAGTCGCGGGACTTAAGATGCTGCGATGGTCATTCTGCCCGTCTTCCTCCCCGTCGTCAGTGGCCGTCCCTTGCCATCTTTGAGCCATCTCTCCTCCACCCCAGCGAACCTAGCCTGTGGTCTTTCCATCTCAACCTGGTTCCTTCCCTCCCGCCTCCTCTCTCTGAATCCCAGCCACACTGGTTTCTAGTCTTCTGGTTCTGACTGTCGACCGCATGCAGGGTGTCGCTTCTCCCTGAGGGTGACGGGAACTCACAGCTGCACAGGGTGGGCTTTTGCCAGCGCACCGAGTGGAGCGACATCTGGTCGACCCAGTGTTTGCAATAAGCGGGATGTGCGGAGGGCCCTGGCCCGGCTCGCTTCCTCCTCCTCGTGCAGCTGCGGGTCGGGGTGACTGCCCCGCGGCTGGCAGGCCTCATCTGCTGCTACTGTGCTGGACCCGCGCGGGTTCCCTCCTTCCCTGCTCTCCAGCCACGACGAGGAGAAGTTCTGTTTTAGAGAATCTGAGGCCGAGTGTAATTATCCCTTCCGCCGTAGTCAGCCCCTGGAATACGTCGGTGTCCAGGCGCCAGCTGCGGGGCCCCTATTTCAGAGGACTTCCCGTCCTGGGGTGCAGAGTGTCCTGTGGGTCCCCAGCCTTCTTCCTGCTGGGCTGGGGGTGTACTTCTGCCTGGATACAGAATGAGGGAGAGAGGCAAAGGGGTGGCCTCTAGATTTTCTGGCTGATGCAGATACAGTCCCAGGGGAAACGGAGGAGGCTAGGCCCGCCCCACCCACGTGGCTCCGTGACACCTCTCCCCCTGGAAAGCCGCCAGCATTAGGCCATGTTTCCTTGGTTTTCAAAGCTGAGATGAGAGCTTTGTTTGTGGGCCTAAATTCCCCAAGAACGAGAAGCGGGAAGCCCGTGAAGTCCAGGAAATGCCACTTACCCCCACATGCGGTGTCCCAGAGCTTCCCAGAACCGCTGCCTTGTCTCCAGCCTCCACCTGCTCTGGGGTGTCCCGCTCAGAAACCACAGGCACAGTGTTCCCACAAGACGGCGGCACCCAGGGTCCGGCTGATTCCTGCCACTAAGATTGCATCAAGTTGATCTCGTCTAAAACTAAAAATACGGCACTTGGCAGACATTCTCTAGAATCCAGAACCAAAGGAATGTGTCCGTGGTGTGGGGGTACACTTCCCAGTCGGTGCAAATTGGAGAGCACGCCGGGAAGATCTGGGATAACTGCGGTTTTCCCGGGACACCCTGGTGCTGGATGTTTCCTGTGCTGGACGCCCTCCAAACCAGGCCATTGCAGCCTTGCTCTGTGGGAACCAACCTTGGGGAGGGCGAGGTGGGGGGCAGCTCAGCTTGCTCCCCTGCTGTAGGACCCCAAAACTGCTTGTGAGGAGGTGCCTCCCATCCCAGTCCCCAGGACCCTCGTGACCTCAGGGGAGTGCAGCGACCGGTCACTATCTCGGGAGGGTGCCAACCCAACCCCCACCTGCCTGGAGCTGCCTTCCTTGCAGGGCCGTTAGCTCACCCAGGGTGCAGGGCAGGGGAGACTGGCCGGGGCCTCACAGCCTTGCCCGTCTATGAGCTTGGTCTCTGCCTTCCCTGTGGCGTCTGCAGAGCACTGACCAGCCCATGAACCACTTGGATTTTTCTCTCCTCTAATCTCCTCTCAAACAATTAGACTGGGCAGTAGATTGGTTTGAAATAACCATGTGGCCTGACCAGGTGCACCCCCAGGCCCCCACCTGCCCCCAGCCCCACTGGGCTCCCCAGGGCCTCTCACCTCACCCCCCGACTGAGGAAGGTTGGATGCTCGGTGCTAATGACTCAGGTCCTCCGGGGAAACAGGGCGCCGAACGAAGCACAGTCTCCGAGCTCTGGGCTGGGCATCAGGAAAAGCTGCAGGTTCCAGCTCTGAGCTGGAGTTCGGGACCCCTGTCCCTCCTCTATTAGTATGAGTTAGCTGAGGTGGTGCAGGCAGTGGTGGCAACTGTCCCAGCCTGTGATTCTGAGCCTGATGGGCCGCGGCCCTTTGGTCCTGGATGACACTCCTCGGTAGGCAGCCTGGAAAAATGTACAATTGCAAATAGTCACAGAAATGTTGAAATGCGATTTTGTTTCTATAAAAATAAAGTATTTCAGTTCCAGCCTACCCAGACTGCACGTGACTGAGCCCAACTTATTGGGCTTCCCCCTCCAGAAAAGGAGCTGGAGACTTTGGGTCACCGTTTTCTGGACACGAGAAAGATCCTGTGTGTGTGTATACGTGTGTGTGCACACACATGCGTGCAAGCATTTAAAACCTGTTGTAGGGACGCCTGGGTGGCTCAGCGTTTGAGCATCTGCCTTTGGCTCGGGGTGTGATCCTGAAGACCCGGGATCGAGTCCCACATGGGGCTCCCCGCAAGGAGCCTGCTTCTTCCTCTGCCTGTGTCTCTGCCTCTCTCTGTGTCTCTCATGAATAAATAAATAAAATCTTTTTAAAAATTAAAACCTGTTGCAAAAACAAGGAAGGTGTCTAATAGATTTCCTGTTTCTGATATTTTCCTAAGGGGGTTAAAGGGCAAGATTAAGAAGGAAAGCTCCCAGCGGGAGCTGCTTGCGGACTCCGCGCACCTGAATGAGACCCACTGTGCCCGCTGCCTGCAGCCCTACCGGCTTCTCGTGACCCCCAAAAGGCAGTGCCTGGACTGTCACCTCTTCACCTGCCAAGACTGCAGCCACGCCCACCCGGAGGAGCAGGGCTGGCTCTGCGACCCCTGCCACCTGGCCAGGTGAGCCAGTGGGTATTGGGGCCTGACACGTGGTGCTGGCTGAAGAAGGGCGGGCACGGACGTGTGCTGCACGGGGCAGTGCCGCGGGCCTGAGCTCTGTGTCTCCGCAGAGTTGTGAAGATCGGCTCGGTAGAGTGGTACCACAAGCACCTGAGGGCCCGCTTCAAGCGGTTCGGGAGTGCCAAGGTGATCCGGTCCCTGTGCGGACGGCTGCAGGGTGCAGGTGAGGAGTGCGTCTCTCCCGGGGGCCCTTTGTGTTCCCAGGCATGTTTTATGTTTTAAGACCAAGCAGATCCTTTGGAATGTGAGTGTGCACCTGTCTGTCCGTTTCAGGTGTTTTAGGCGAGGTTGGCTCCTTTCCGTGGGATGCAAACATCTGCACCCCCCTGGCCTCGCCCCCTGGGAAGTCCTGCATGCTCTTGACACCCCCACTATTTGAAATCATATTTTTCCATGCTTTCTAGCAGGTTGAGAACTGACAGCTAAGGTCTCAAACTCCGTGGCCGGTCGAATAGCCAGGCGCTCGCGGGCTAATACAACACATTCTCCAGGCCTTTCCTCCCCGGGAGCCCAGTTTGGGGCCTAGGCTTTCTCTTTTCGGGAAATATCCCCTGTGCATCTGATGATTATCAAGACTCAGGGGTCCTGATTGTAACGCAGCAGTGTGTTTTGATATTTTGAATCCAAGTATTTATTCCATAATGAACTCAAAACCTAGACTGTGATCTTGCACTAACCGTACGTTCGCCTGAATTGTCCACTTTTAAGGTATTTGGGAAGGGAGATCATTTCAGGGGAAGGACGAAGTTTGGAAATTGAACAGAGATGACTAAGCAGTGTTTGCAGGGGACAAGTGCCTTGTCCCTGCCACTTGAGTTCCAGGCTCTGCCATTAAGCCTGGCCAAGCATTCGGGCTGGCACAGCCCATCAGGCGGGTGTCTGGGGGCTGGGCGCCTTGAGTCTCTCCAAGTGAAGGACCAAGGCAAGGGCCCAAGGCGCTGGAGCCCGTGCACGTTAAGAGCAGATGCTGTGCTTCTTGGCTTAGTGTCCTCATCACATCCCAGCCTCAGGCCTTCCGGGGAGGGGCCTTACATGTGTCTTGTGTCCTATCAAGTCTCACATTGATAAGCAGGATCTGAAGTTGGGCAGGGCCACCCCCAGAGCACTAGGGCTTTCCCTGGACCAGGTGCTTCTCAGGTATCTCAGCACATTATTGAATTTAGGACAAGGACCCCACCCCCACCCCAGAGGCCCCCTCAGCTGTCTTGGCTCATAGCACCTGGAGCAGGGAACCAGGGGGTGAGAGGCTTCTTCGGCTCTTGGGGGAAGAAGGCACATGATAAATCGTCCAAATCAGAACATTTTCAAGAGTAAAAGGAGGCTCTCCTGGTAACTGTGCTGAGGCAACAGATGGGACCACGGACACAGGGGAGCCTCTGCCACCCGATTCTTGAAGGCTGTATCTGTCTCAGGCTGGAGTCCGTCAGGAAAGCCCATACCCCCCTGCCCACTCGGGCAGCCAGGAGCCGGCCGAGAGGGTCTCTCCCTGCAACCCCAGGAGCTGAGTCCGGCCCCGCTGCAGGCCCGAGGGTGGGAACCTCAGGGAGCGGGACAGAAAGCCGCACAGCAGAGCATTCCAGAACCTCAACCCCAAAGGCGGCTCCGTTCACAGAGGCCTCACGGGATCCCCTGAGGACGTGGCCTCCGTCTGGGAGGTGCCGATCTCCAGGCACCAGGTGGGCTGCGGGAAAGGCTGTGGGATGGTGACGCCCAGCCGGGCCGCAGCCCCGGAGCCAACCCCAGCCGGGACCTGCCGATTTCAGTTGTCACGACTGAGGGCCACGAGGTGGCACTGTGGGGCAGCAGGAACCGGGCCGCAGGGGGTCGGGGTGGAGGGGGGCACCCTGCGTCCAGGGGTGATGTCACTGAGTCACGGAGGGTGCAGGGGAGGAAAGTTGCGTCTATTTTCTCAGGTAGTCAAACTGAAAAACTAGAAGTGATGGAGGTTACTGTTTAGAGACCTGGCCAGCCAGGGCCTGGTGCAGGCCGGTCCCCTGGGGGGCGGGGGGCACCGGGTCTTCTCCAGGCGACCCAGCAGAGCCACGGGACCCCGCGGCAGGAGATCGTCCAGGGCCGGGAGGGAGGGGAGAGGACCCGTCCTCGGGCACGTGGTCCCGGGAGGCTGTCCCTTCCCACCGCCTCTTCTTTGGTCCCAGGTTCGCCTGACAGCGCGCGCAGCTTACCTGACACCCACAGTAAGTGCCTCCCGCCCCCGGGTGGGGTTTGTTGCACCTCCCTGTCAAGGGCGCCCGCGCACCCTCTCCCGCGACGGCAGCGGGGAGGCCTCTGGACTTTGTTAAGAATCACTGGCTCTGGAGAGGGTGGGGGCCGTGCAAACGCTCCCCAGCAGGGACACGCGCAAGGAGCTGGTAACCAGCAGGGGCCCAGGGCTCCTGTTCCTGTTTGGTCCTGGGGACAGGCCACATGCGTGTGCGTACACACGCACACTCATGCATGCAAACCACGCACATCGTGCACAAGCATACACGGGAGCATGCACACAACCTCACGTATGCACATGCATGCACGCACACATATGCACACACGGGCATGTACGCTGCACACATGCACACACACATGCATGCACACATGGGCACGCACACTCATGCACACACACACTCAGGGGCATGCACACATGCACACGCCCCAGGCTTCCAGAAGCCACGCCCATATTCGCTCAGTTCAGCTCAGTGTCCTCTGTCTGTTGGTTCCTCAAGGCTCACTGTCCAGAGAGTGAAAATAATTACCCGGTCTGTCCGCTGCATGGGTCTGAGTCCGGGGGACCCAGAAAGGCTTTCTGGGTCTTCTCAAGGACACTAAATGCCCTGCTGTTCACACTTGAGACCTCCCCCCACCCAAAGGCACAAGGAGTAAGGGCCAGGGTGGCACAGGCTGGGGTGTGCGGTGGCAGCTCGTGCAGGGCCCGGCCCCACAGCCCAAGCTCCTCATCGTGGCCCCTGAGGGAAGGTGGAAGATCCATGCCCTAAATCCCAAGAGTCCATTTCCTGGATTGCTTTCTGGTGACCTAACAGGAGACCAGGGGCCAGGCCAGCGTGAGTGAGAGAGCAGAGGGCCGGGGCCACCTGGGTGCTCAGGTGAGGGCCTGGCCAGGGCAGAGAAAGGGGGGCAGGATCAGCAGATGAAATGACTGAGAAAACATGACTTAGCTCTGGCCTCCTTCCCCCACCACAAGGCCAGGGGGTGAGATTGCCCAAGAAGCAGTCCAGGAATGGAGAGCAAATGCCTGAAGGTGTGACCCTTGACAAAATTGTTGCAAAGTAATAGTTTCCTGCTGGGATTCAGAACGGGTCTAAATGATGCTTGGAAAGGTCTCTGTGAGGCCAGCAGATGAGCTTGCCTGCATGGATGGATCCACAGCGGGTAGATGGGTGGATGGAGAATGGATGGGTGGGTGGGTGGGTGGGTGGGTGAGTGGTAGGTAGGTAGACGGGTGGACAGATGGGTGGGGGTAGATGGGTGTGTGGATGGGCTGTAGATGGGCGGGGTGGATGGATGGATGGGTAGGTAGGTGGATGTGTGGGTGGTGGATGAATGGTCTGCCCCCCGTCTGTCTCTCCCCGGGTGGAGTCATGCAGGTGTCCGTTGCAGGTGGGCCGGAGCCAAGCCCTGGTGAGGGAAGTGGAGACAGTGAACAGACAGATGAGGATGGAGAACCGGGCACAGTGGCCCAGGCCCAGCCCCTCGGCAGCACAGTAAGTCCTTCCCAGACATCCCCACTGCCAAGTGGGAGGCTTGGGTCCTGATTTCCTAAAAATCTCCGTGCTCTCCACGACTCTCCTGGGTGCTTCAGCATGAGCACAAGACCCCGCCTCCCTTGCCGTGCCTGGGCAGTCTCTGAGACTGAGCATGAAAGAGGAGCTGCTTTCACACGTGGTCTCACCATAAGAAACCCCAAAGCAAGGTGTGGGGTGGGCAGAGGCTGCAGAGAAGCCTGCCTGACCCGTTCAGCCAGAGTCCCGGGGGGGGGGGCACGTTTGTGAGGTTGTGAGGGCAAGCAGGGGTCCCAGAGCACCCTGCATCTTTTAGGGAAGGGGACCCCCTTTAGACTCCTTCCTGTGAACATTTTACTTTTCCTTATAGGCGACCATGAGCCTGTTATTCGTCTTGGTCTCCATCTTCACTTATTTTATGACTTATTTTTTTTAAAGATTTTATTTATTCATGAGAGACACACAGAGAGAGAGAGAGAGAGAGGCAGAGAGAGAGAGGCAGAGACACAGGCAGAGGGAGAAGCAGGCTCCATGCAGGGAGCCCGACGCGGGACTCGATCCCGGGTCTCCAGGATCAGGCCCTGGACCGAAGGCAGGCGCTAAACCACTGAGCCACCCAGTTTTATGCCCATTTTATTACTTATTTTTGATGATAGACGAGCAAAGCATGGCCCAGCGTTTCTGGGTGGGATGACGGAAGGGGGCAGGTTGGGGCAGGGGTGGATGATGAGTTTAGTCGGGAGACACGGGGTCCCCGATGCTGGGGTCCATGAGACTCGGCACCGGCCAGATCCGGCCAGTCTACAGCGAGAGAATTGTATTCCTGCCACTCTGAGCTTGAAGAGTACTAGCCAGTGTCCGGAACATTCCCTATGCGATACCTTTAAAGGATCAAGATCGTCGTGGGGGAGGATTTCAGTGGGCTGGTGCTCTTCATCTGAACACCAGGGAGCTCTCCTCCAAGTCTGCATCCCCGGCGGGGGTGGGGGGGTGGGGGGAGGGACCCCCTCATTTGCATGAACCGCCCCCCCATATACACCTCTGAAGGGAGAGAAGCAGCCATCAGCCCCGGAGAAGACCTCCGGCCCCTCCCCGGCCCCCCACCCAACACCCCGAGGCCGCAGCCCTCCAGGGCCCGTGTCCTCAGCACTTCTGAGCAGCCCCATGCCCCTCGGGCCGAGCAGGTGTTTCCTTCTGCTCTAAGAGATGCTGAGGATGCCGATCTTGCGGGGAATTCGGGGCAGCGGGGCCTCCGGACCCCTTGGAGCTCCTTCGGATTTGTTTCTAGTGTAGGAGGTAGATGAGCCCCTGGGGGCGCCCCCCTCCCGCTGCCCAGGGCCGAGGGGCCCCCGGTCCTCTCTGTGAGGCTGACTCTGACTCTCCTCCTCTTGCCCCCGCCCGCACCTGTGAAGAAAAAGCGCCTCTCCTTCCACGACTTGGACTTTGAGGCAGACTCTGACGACTCCACTTGGTCTGGAAGTCACCCCCCCCACTCGTCCCCAGTCTCAGTGGCCACAGACAGCCTGCAGGTCAGTGGACTCTCGTTTCTGTCCCCCAGCCTTCCGGGGATAACCTGAGCGACAGGTACGTGGGCCCCAGGTGGGGGACGGGGCGCTCTGGGAAGGAGTCCGATGGCCATAGCAGGCTTCGGGGCACGACAGGCCAGGGGAGAGTCAGGGTGAGGGCACAGGGTCCAGAAGCTTCTCACTCCCCATCTCTGCAGAGACGGGGCTGGCAGCTTGGAGAAGTGGTGTACGGGATGGGAACGTGGGAACCGGGCTGGACAGATGAGGGGCCCAGGGATTTCGGGGTGACTGCCCGTCCCAGAAATAAGGTTTTCTACCCCGTGACTCAGGAGGGCAGGCCCGAGGACCGGTGTCTGCTCTGGACTCAGGGCTTCACGTGTGCCTGGACGTCCCTGCGGCGGCACCAGGCCAGAGCTGGGGTGGGGATGCCTCTGCCCAGGCGGATGCACAGACCACTTTGGGGGCAGTGGGCTGGCTCCCCAGACGTCTTTGGGCCACAAGACCAGCCCCTGCGGTCTCCACTTCCCGTGGCCTCCAGGGCCTGACCACTGCTTCCTTCCTGTCCCCCTCACACTGGAAAAGAGCCCTGGGGCATGTGGCTTCCAGGAGCCCTCTGCACCTTGTTTCCTTGGGGACGATGGCGCAATAGAGAGACCCCAGCGGGTAGAAGAGGTGCTGGGGCGGCACCCAGGGGCCCCCCGGGAGCCCCACCCACACCCCCACTCGCTTTTCTGGGAGTATTAGGGTGTACACAGAACAATGCATACCCCCAAAAACAGTCACCTCCCCATCGGCCTCCTCGGGGCTTTGGGCTACAGGTAAGTTGGAGCCCCCGAGGCTGTCAGGTGGGTCTCAGGTCCCTCGTGTGATGAGTGGCCTAGGGCATCGGGAACCTCAGCCCTCCACGGACGCATGATGCAGAGTAGTCAGCAAGCGGGTTCAGCAGGATTTCTGAAAGCAAAGGGCAGTGAGTTGCGAGGGGCCGGAGCTGAGGGGTGTCTGGCGTTTGCTCAGATGATGCCTGGAAACCCTGGAGACTGGGACTGGGAAGGACCCACATGCCAAGGAGCTGACCCTCCTCGTAAAACCGCAGGTCCCGTGTGCCCAGGCCCTCACGCATGAGCCTCGTGCAGAGGACGCCTCCCAGGAGGCCGCCGTCCTGGAGGAGGCGGATGTTGATGCCTCTGGGTGCTGTGCGCATCCAGAAGAGCAGATGGACAGCCTCTCACCTGCCGGACGGGACGCCCTCGCGGAGCCCTGCCCCCCTGCGGGGTCCTGCAGCACAGCCACAGCTGGTAGGTCCCTCGATGGGCTCTGCGGGGGAGGAGGCCGGGGAGGGGCCTGCCTGTTGCCCCGACGGGTGCAGACGCGCTGGCTCACTCGTAGCAACCCCTTCCTTCGCTCTGACTGTCCGACACACGCCGTCCTGGTGGACACCATCCACACCTGCCCCCGCCGTCCCCACACCCACCCCACCCCGACCCCGGAGCTGGGTGCTTCTCTTGTAACCCTCAGAAGTTCCAGCGCTAATGACTCAACTGGCCGCACAGCTTGCTGCGGCCTTTAGGGAAGATCCTGAGCTGGTTTGTAGGGACAAGCAGGTGTCCCTGAAGGGATTAGGATCACCGGTCACCTGGACCGCCCATCGTGACCGAAGGACCGGGCAGCTCCAAACCTGGGGGGACGGCTGGTACAGGTTCCCCCGGGCACCGCCTCCCCTGGCCCGCTGTCGGCTCCTGGCTGGGAATTGGGAGGCCTGTGCGTGCCGAGAACCTGGATTTGCTCGGTTTAATCTCGTTGGCAGACATGTGCTTCATAATGAGATCCTGAATGGCTGTCTTCCCTGTGCCCTGGGGGAGGGTGGGTTCAGGAGTTCAGAGCCCCTACTGCTGCGGGAGCCGAGCAGACCGCAGAGGCCGCCCGCCGTCCCGCTAACGAGCCGGGGGCCAGCTGCCCGGAAATGTGGTTAAGACACCGTCCGCCAGGAAATCGGTCCACTTTCCGTTTTCCTTTTCATTATATCCTAGGGGCCATAATCTCATGGTGCACAGGGCAGTTAGGATGCTGGAGGCATTTCGGGGGGAACATGGGGCTTCACTGCCCCCCGAACAGTAAGTGAATCTACATCGAACAAGTCCTAGGATGGAGACGTGCGCAGACTTCGTGCCCCCCTCCCTGCCGCCACCGCCGTGACCCCTCACCACCCCGAGCACCGGACCGTGGGGCGGCGGGCAGGGCGGGGACAGAGGCCCAGGGAGACGGCCGGCGCGGAGTTCCGAGCCCAGCCATTCTGTCCAAATAGCACAGTCTCCACCTCATCCCTTAAACTGGGGGCATCTCCCAGTGACCTGTCGGGGTTTGACGGGCAGCGCCGTCCTTCAGAGTGCCTCAGACGACCTGCAGGTGCGGTGGGACGCGGCACGACGCTCGACCAACCCGCTTAGCCGCTGTGACCCAGTTTCTCCTCTCTGCGAAGAGGGGTTACCGCATAACGGGCGGCGTGCTCGTAGGCACCGCGCGGGATCGTAGGATCACAACCCTATGGGCTTAAAGCCGCGCACGTCCACCCTGTCGCCGTGGGCTGGGACGTCCCGGGCTGGAACCTGTGTGTCCCGGGGCCAGAGTGTCCCTGGCGCCCGGAGCCCTCCCGGCAGCTCGTTCAGGGGTTCGGCAGGACTCGTCGTGCCCGTGGAGTGCAGAAGTCGCTGTGCACAGTGACTTCCTGCCGCAGGAGCTCCCGGGCGGCACCTCCTGGCGAGGGTCATCCCCGGACACAGCTCCTTGTCCCCCATCAGGTCCCAGCGTGGCCGGGCACCGTGCTGTCCAGGCTGCCTGGAGCCCCGGGAGGGACCTCTTGGGGAGGCCGTGGGGACAGTAAGCCCCCCGCAGCCGGAGCCCAGGACAAGCATTTCCAGGCCCACGGGAGGGGACCCGTGCCCACAGAAGGTCTGGCGTGAGAAAAAGCCCGTAGTGACGTGTGGAAGGACTTCCTAAAGTCACCTCTGCTCGTGGAAGCTCCCGGGGGCCCCGTCCGCCTGACCCCAGGCAGCGGCCCCGGGGTGCTGTGAGCCTCCTGCGCACACGGCTGTCTCCTGCGGCCCACCGAGGCTGCGCCTTGCCTGAAGCTCCATCCGCCTTTGCCTTAAGCTCTCGGCTCCCCCTCCGCAGGGGCCACCGGCACATCTCGGCGGCTGTAATCTCTCCTTTTTCTTTATCGGGAAAGTGTGTCCACTGGCTTCCTGCTTTTCGCTCTAAATAAGTCAAACCCACTGTCACCCCAAAGGGACGCACGCCATCGGGAGGGAGCCCCTCCGCTCCCAGCATCTGGCCGACGCGGACATCTCCGTCTCCGAAGACGAGGACGCCGGGGCTCCGGGCACCACCTCCCAGCATCCCCGACGGGGAGGCCACACTCCAGCTGAGAGTCAGGTAAGGCCGAGGGCCAGGTAAAGCTGAGGGCCAGGTAAGGCGTCTGGGAAGCTCCTCCTTGCAGCTGCTTGGGGAGGAGGCTTTTTAGCTTAACATCACGTCCTGGTGGAGAAATCAGAGCCTTCAAAATACCTCAAGTATTGAATTTAAAACCCTACATCTGCACAAACCGACGTGCGTTGTGGTATCATCAAAATATCCATCGTTTCGTTGAAGTGAAATCCACACAACATAAAATTAGCCATTCCGAAGCGGACGCTCGCTCGCACTTGGGACGTTCACAGTGTCACGCAGCCGCCGCCACAAGGGTCCCACCAAAACGCCATCGCCCCAGAGGGAAACTCTTCCCGTTAGCGTCGCTCCCCGCCCCTCCCCACAGGCCCTGGCCGCCACCAGCCTGCTTCTCGTCTCCTGGATTTGCCCTTTCCAGGCTTTCCACGTAGACAGAAGCGTCCCCTGCGGGACCTTCCGTGCCCGGCTCCCTGCGCGCAGGAATAGTGCTTTGAGGTCCGTCATAGTCTAGCTTGTGTCGCCACTTGGCTCCTTTTGATGCCGGTATTCGCTCTCCACTCCACCAAGTATCCTCAGGTCACCCACAAGAGGAGGACGTGCTCCACTGCTTTGTACCTTCAGCAGACTTCACGCAGGTTTTAAGAAAATTTAGAAGACGTAACACCTGTTAAATTAGTGAGACCCCCTCACACTGAAGACCCCGATTTAGGGAACAAATCACAAGATTCCTGAGTGCCCCGGGTTCCCTTCACGGAGTTGAAACCGTGGTCCCGTTTACAGATAATTGGCTTAGGTCTGAGCAAGTACACGGTACCGGGGGGAAGGCGACAGCGCTTTCTAGGAGGAGAGCAGGACCACCAGGTGGATACAGATGCACCGACCCCAGTAAGGCCTGACTGCCACGGAGGGGGTCGTGGGATTGGGGCCGTTTGCAAGTGAGGAACCCAGAGGCAGGACACCGAGCGGAGAGCCCCCGCTCTGGGTGGAGGAGCCTGGATGTAGCTCAGCCAAGGCGGGTCTCGGGCACGTTTGTCTGCACCCGGAGGTGTGGCACAGAGCTCCTCCCGGGACCCTCCCCAGGGGGTGGGGGTGTTGGAGGGCCGGGGGATGCACCCATGGAGCTTCCCCAACGGGGACGGAGCTCTGGGCCGTCAGGTGGGAGGGCTTCACCAACATCCAGCGTGTCCAGAAAGGGCAGGAAGCTGCTAACGTGCAGTGGTGCTTTGCTGTGGTTGCACAGGCAGACAGGGGGACGGGGGGCCTGCGGGGCGGTGGGGGGCTGGAGCTGGGAGGGGCTGTCTGCAGGGAGCTAGGCCTTGCCCGCCCCGTACCCCTGTGTGCACCCAGACCACCCAGAGGAGCACGGCCGACACCCCCTACACCGGCACTGCCCGGGGCCGTCGGTGACCAGGGGTGCGGCCCAGTGGGGCCAGGTTTGCTGAGCGCTCTGTCCCCATCAGCCCGAGCAGCAGCGGATGTGCCCGCGCGGGCCAGGACGTGCACGAGGCCGGCGGGGGCAGCTGAGGGTGAGTCTCAGCCGACGTAGGGCAGGTTACAGGCTCTACCAACCTCCATCCTCCCCCTGACCCCAGGAAGTGATCTGCCAAAAACAAGCAGCAGGCTTAGGAGGAGCCCGCCCTTCCCGCATGGCTTTTGAGGAACCGGGGTACGTTTTTTTGTTCTAAAGTTGGTTGGGCTGAAAAACGTCAGCAGGACAGAATTGTGGAGTCTTTGGGCTCCGTATCTGTCTCCCTGTCCGGAGTCCGTGCCCGCAGGCACAGCTGCCTCTCCTTCCTGGCATGTCACCCTGAAGCATCCTGCAGGAGGAGGTGTGCTCGCCCTTTGCCCTGAGCACGGCAGGGTGGGAAAGGCCCTGAGAAGGTCTGCAGGGAAAAGCCGTCTACCATTCTGCACCCAGGGTGGCGCTCGCTTCTTGGGGCCTGACCCCCCCTTTTACGGAATAGTGAGGAAAACACTACACGGGGAGGTGACCTTTGATCAGACCGAGGTGAGGCTCCCAGGAGGGCTGGGGCAGTGGTGGAGGTGCAGTAAGGCCCGGGCAGGGACCTCCCAGGGCAGGACAGAGCCACGGTGGGCAGAGGAGCCCCGGTCAGAAGACAGGGGATGAAGACTAGAATTGTCTATTTGCAGAAAGTTTATTTAAGAGGTGGAAACTCTAGTAACATTCAGTAAAACCTGTGCCCTGGCATCCAGCCCTGCAGGTACCCTCTGCCCCTGCCCTGCAAGTACCAGCTGCCCCCGCCCTGCGGGTACCTGCTGCCCCCGCCCTGTGGGTACCCGCTGCCCCTGCCCTGCAAGTACCAGCTGCCCCCGCCCTGCAAGTACCTGCTGCCCCTGCCCTGAGGGTACCCGCTGCCCCTGCCCTGAGGGTACCTGCTGCCCCTGCCCTGCGAGTACCTGCTGCCCCCGCCCTGAGGGTACCCGCTGCCCCTGCCCTGAGGGTACCTGCTGCCCCTGCCCTGAGGGTACCCGCTGCCCCTGCCCTGAGGGTACCTGCTGCCCCCGCCCTGAGGGTACCCGCAACCCCTGCCCCACCGGTACCCCCCATCCTTCGAGCCTCCTTAAACAGTTCTCATCTCTGACTCCACGTCCACCAGCGTCTCACCTCGCCGTGTCCCGCGCATCTTTGTGTAAAGGCAAGCGGGCAGCCCGCCCGGTGCACCAGTGAAAACCAGGGCAGACTCTTACAGCGGCCCTGGGGAGGGCCCCTGGGAGTAAGGGAGGAAGCCCCCCACACCTGCCCACCCTCAGAGACGGCTTCTAAACCCAGACCGACAGACACACCCTGGGGGGGGTGCGAGCGTTCTCCAGAATGACGCCGTGTCGCGCCCGTCTGAATGTCCCACTCTTCCCTGTTGCCTTGCTCCGCGCTTGTAGTCAGGGTCAGGACTTCCTGGACGAGGGCTGCTCGGGGGAGGCTCATCTACAATTGCTCACACCAGAGCCCCAGCACAGCATGTGTATGAAGGGGCTTCCGTGGGGCTGGGTTCCAGAAGGCCGGGAAACCCAGCCCTGGCATGCCCCCCCTCCCGTGGTGGGCGTGGGCCCGCACTCCCAAAAGCCGCCCCCAAGGCCATCGGTGCTGTGCTCAGCCTGCAGACGCTGACTCGGTTTCCCCGTGGAAGCCTCACCCGTGCCAGGTTATGGTGGTTCATTTCAATCCACGGCCTAGGTCTGTTCCCAATTTAAAAATGGTAAATTTTGGTTTGGTTGCACGCAAGCTGAAAGCACCAGGAGCTCATGCCCGGTTTTCTGTCGGCGTGTGTCTAAGTAAGGTGGGAAGGCTGACAGTCGGGGCGCTCACACGGGGCAGACGCCAGTGCCGAGGTGGTTGCCGCTTTGGGCGGAAAGGACAGGGCCACCAGCTTCGTGGAGGTCGCTCACGAGGACCTGAGAAGCAGGCGTTCTCCTTGGGGTGGGAGGGGCAGCGCCTTGATACCAGATGGAAAACCAGGGTGATGGTGTATTTACCGTGTCCGCGCCGCCCTGGGGCCCTCCTGCCTCCTCCTCGGAGCGCCCAGAGCTGCCAGGGCCTGGCTCAGGGCAGCACTGGACCCGCAGCTCATGCCCGGGCTGCTGCCCGCCGCCCTCTCCCTTCTCTGTGGCTCCCTGCCGCCCCTGGCTCCTGCCTCTCCTCCCGCCCCAGATGAGAGCTCCAGCTCCTTGTCCTGGGATGCTTTTCTTTCCTTTCCACGCTCGAGAGGACATTTGACAGGGACCATGCTGGGCGCTGGCTGGGGTCTGCAGTGGCAGCCACGTGTCCTGCACGCGCAGAGGTGGCTGGTGAGCCTCCCCCCGCCCGGTATCCATTGCCACCTCTGGACTCCCCGGGTAGCCAGAGGGGGGCTCGATGACCTGCAGACAGAGGGGGGCTTGATGACCCACAGCTGGGCGAGGGGCCGATGACCGGCTGCAGGGGGATGGGGCTTGATGACCTGCAGCCAGAGAGGGGGGCGGCTGGATGACCTGCACCCAGAGGGGGGCTTGATGACCCGCAGCCAGAGGGAGAGCTTGATGACCCATAGCCAGAGGGGGGCTCGATGACCCGCAGCCAGGGGGGCGCCTGATGGCCCACAGCCAGAGGGGGGCTCGATGACCCACAGCCAGAAGGGGGACCTGATGACCCACAGCCAGAGGGGGGGCCTCGATGATCCGCAGTCAGAGGGGGAGCTCGATGACCCGTAGCCTGAAGGGGGGCCTTGATGATCCACAGCCAGAGGGGGGGCTCAATGACCCACAGCCAGGGGGGCGGCTCGACCCACAGCCAGAGGGGGGCCTCAATGACCTGCAGCCGGGGGGGTGCCGATGAGCCACAGCCAGAAGGGGCACCCGATGACCCACAGCCAGAGGGGGGGCTCGATGATCCGCAGCCAGGGTCAGGGGGAGGCTCGATCACCATCAGCCAGAGAGGGGGCTCAATGACCCGCAGCCGGGGGGGGGGGGGCGGTGACCCGCAGCCGAGCCCCTCGTGTTGACATTTCCCGGCTCCCCGTTCTTCTTGGGGCAGATTCGCCCCCTCGGAGCCCCGGGTGCCGTGAGGATCGAGCTAATTACCTGCCGAACAAAGCAGGAACATCTCCCCGCTCCCCAAGTGCCATTTCCCTTTGAAAACACGCGAGCCACAGAGGACGTAATGGCAGGAAAGACGCCTCTGCTGTGCTTGGCAGCAGAACGGAGGCATCGATTTTTCTGGGTCCCGATCTGGGCGCCCGTGGACTCCGGTGACTCAGGGGAAGAGGAAGTGGTACTTTCAGTCACTGGGAGGCTGTTACCTGGTGCCTCCAGGCCCACGGTGACCCAAGGCTGCGGCCAGCTAACGACTCGTAGTTCGAGCAGCCTGGCACGATCGATCCGCGCCTTCCTGTGCCCGTCGGGAGCGCCGGTGACAGCGGCTGCCCGGGGGTAATGACGTGTCCGACGCCCGTCAGCTTCGGCGCCCACCGCCGCCCCCACCGCCGCCCTCTCTTCTGGTCCCACTCCCAGCTTTCACTTGGTGTTCCAGAACTCTCGGGCATCAAAATGGGCTTCAGGGCCACCTGCCCCAGGCCACGTGACCCGTGGTGGCCTCGGCTTTCCTGCCACTGCTTGGGAATCTGGTGCTTGTGTGGAGCTGCGCTGCTGACGGCGGGGGGCACTCCCTCGGCTCGGGGACCCCATCTGGGGTCAGAGGGAAGAACTGTTGGTGGTGAAAGTGCCCACGAAGGAGCGCTCAGTGTCTCGCTCACCGTGGGTGGGCCTTGGCCTGGGTGGCGTCGGGATCGGCAGGTGTGCCCCCGCCGCCGCCCCTGCAGAGCCTGGCTCCTGAGCCCGGGACTGGCCCAGCACGAGCTCTTCGGACCAGCTCCTCTGGGCAGTGGCTGCAGACCCCTCCCAGAGCCCCCCTGCGGCCCGGTGCCCGCGGATGACCCACTGAACGCGGATCTCCTTGCCCGCTGCAGTGTCTCGCCGGCCGTGAGCCCACCGACGCCGACAGAGAAGAGGAGACCCTCAGGAGGAAGCTGGAGGAGCTGACCTGCCGCGTCAGTGACCAGGGCGCCTCATCCGAGGAGGCGGGGAGCGAGGAGGAAGGGTCAGACCTGGCCAGGAGCCCCTCCTCGCAGGACCTCCCCGGGGCAGCCCCGGAGGTGAGGCGCCCCGGTAGGCTCGGTGGGACCTGGGCAGAGGTGGGGCCAGGCGTCCAGAGGTTGTGACGAAGCCGCTGCCCCCACCCCATGCCCCCCCAGGCAGGCAGCCCACCCCCGGTGGGCCCTGGGCCCCCACAAGAGCGGCAGCGGGTGCCCAGCCCCCCCGGGCCCACAGGAAGGGGTGTCTCTGGGATGGGCCCGTCTTGGGGAGGCCTTGCCGTGTCTCCTGCAGGTGGTCACGTTCCGTGCTTCCCTGTCCTAGGTGTGCGCGGCTGCGGGCCAAACGCACGGACGGGACACGACCCCCTGGGGCCCTCGGGACCTCGTGCAGCCCGGCAGGACCACAGACGAGGAGCTGCTGCAGCTGGAGGACAGAGTGGCCCTGACGGCCTGTGAGGTCCAGCAGGTGGAGAGCGAGGTAGCACCAGCCCCAGGGGCGGGGGCTCCCGGGAGGAGGAGTGGCGGCCGTGGACAGTCCACCTGCAGCTCTGGAACAGGAGCTTGGAAATGCTCGCCCGCCTGCAGCCTCGGTGAGAGGCAGGCGGGCAGGGTGTTCAGCCCCGCGGGCATGATGCTGACGCGTACCCCGCCCAGTCTCAGGATGCGGGGGCTTCTCCAGAAGCAGGCTCGGGTTTTAGGACAGCCCCCGGGGGTGGGGGGGCTCAGAACCAGACTCTGACCCGAGGGCCACCCTGGGAGCCCAAGCGTGGGCCCAGGACCTGAGTTCCGGTGAGCATTGTGTCCGTAGTCTACAGAGGTCAAGGACGGAGCCAGGGCCCCTCAGGGACGGCCTAGGTGACTGGGGACTGCTCTCCCCTCTGGGGACCCGCAGAGAAGAGAGGGTCTGCCCCTCAGGCTGCAAGGGGAGCCAGCACCCACAGCCCATTCTCGCTTCTGCTCCTAAGCAAGTGCCCACCAGGAGTGAGGAGCACCTCGCCTGAGCTGTGCACCGAGCACGCTCATCAGGGGGGACAAGCCAGCCTGACAACCAAGGAGCTCGGTTCTTAAAGAGAGCTGTGCAGACAGGAAGTGAGGGTGGCTCGGTGGAGCCCCCAGGTGGGCTGCCCAGGAAGGGATAGGACAGGAAGAAGGCAGCACACATGTGCAAAGGTCCTGGGGTGGTCTTGAACTTGGCATGTTCGGGAACGAGCAGTGAAACCCTGAGCCGGGGGCAGAGGGTGTGAGGGGGCAGAGGGTGGGAGGCAGGTCCGAGAGGAGGGTGGGGAGCCACTGGAGGGAGCAGAACAGGGGGCCTTGTTGCTGTTTCTAGAAGTTTCCTCTGGCTGCCATGGGAGCTGGGGGTGGGGGCCCATTTAAAATGATGCCAGAAAAAATAAAATAAAAATAAAATAAAATAAAATAAAATAAAACAAAATAATAAATAAAATAAAAAAGTAATGCCAGAGAGGCAGACGCCAACTAAGTCTTTGCCCGTCAAGTGTAGCCCTGTCCCTTAGAGCTGCAGCGACGCTGACCCCAGTCGCTGCCCCTCCTTCCGTCCCCGGTGGGAACCAGAATTCCTAATGGGCCAGAAAGTGTGCAGGGCCCCCCTCCCTCCCACCTGGGGCGACCTGCAGCAGCCCCCTCCCCGGCAGCCACGTGTGACAACGGGCCTCCCGGAAGCGCATCCGCTGGGACCCCCGTCTTAAGGGAACCGTAACAACGCAGGCGAATCGGCGGCTGGGTCGGCACATCTGAATGAGGTCCGCCTGTCTGTCCTTTCTGCCAGGTGTCCAACATCAAGTCCAAGATTGCGGCCTTGCAGGCTGCGGGGCTCACGGTGAAGCCCTCGGGGAAGCCCCGGAGGAAGTCCAACCTCCCGGTGAGTGCGGGCGCCCAGCGCGGAGGCTTTGTGCCCGGGGACCGGCCAGAGCGCAGGCCCACCCGGTGGGCCTGGAACCAAGAGGCCGCCGCCCGCCCCGCCGACCCGTGGCCAGCCCGGGAGCTGTGCCCCGCCGGGGTTCTGGCTGAAGAAGCGCTTTTTGAGGCGAGCTTGGCTCTTCCTCTGAGAACTTGGGACGCATGCACACGGCCTCAAGTCCGAAAGAAGCAGCCTGAAGGGTGGCGTCCCGCACGTGCCGTCAGAGCTGGGCGCGACAGGAAGAGCAGGTCGGGGGCGGGTCTGGGGCCAGTACCTGTCTCCCCAGATTTGGGCTGGGGTCCCCAGGCAGGTCACGCCAGTGGGGTAGCTGGCAGACGAACAGAGGGTGGTCCCAGGAGAGCCCCCGGAGGTCCGGCTGCAGGGGATACACGGCAGGGCCAGTGTTCCGGGAGGACGGCCATCGTCCTTCTGTCCCGCGGGCCACCTGTGACGGGGTCGGACAAGCAGCAAGCAGGTACAGGCTTCCTCCTTGTCCTCCAGATATTTCTTCCCCGACTTGCTGGGAGTTACGACCAGAGGCCTAAGGATCCGAATGCAGAAACTTTGGACGAGGTACGTGTCATTCCAAGAGGAAGGCTGGCGCAGCTCTTTCAGAAGCGTGATGAGTCCCGGGAGCGGTGGGGCTGAAACGTGCCCTGTGTAAGCTCGGCCAGCCCCGCAGGGGACCCCAGGGCGTCCCCAGAGGCACGTGCTGAGACGGGGCTGGCATCATCGTGTTGGGGAAATCCAGGAAAACCCAGCTGGGGAGGCAGGACGGTGGGCAGAGGCCTCGGCCTCGGCAAACCCCACTCACGGTGTCTTTGGCTCTGGGTAAGGCAGCGGGAGTGGTTCAGCGTGGGGGCGGGAGGCCGCACCGACCCCTCCTCGCCTGTCAGTCACAGACCACCTCACTCTGGGGTCTCCCCCGCGGCCCTGCGCAGGCAGGCAGGCTCCAGCGGCCTGGGGTCAGCACCTCCTGGCCCCCGGGAGGTGCAGGTGTCAGCCGTGGCCGCGCGGGCATGAGGAGCCAGCGTGCCTGCAGGGGCACCGGGACGGGGGTGGGTCTGAGACGGTGGCCCCATCACTGTGTGCAGAGGAGGTGCCGGCCCGGGAGGGAGCCTGGTCTCCGAGGCGTCAGGGGTGCCACCCCCGTGCCCCAGGAAGAGCAGCATCTGTTCCCCGTCCTGCCTGCTGCCTCGTGCCCCTTCGGAGCCACAGCGCACCCTGGTCACTCCTGTTCATCGTGCAGTGACGCTGGGCAGCTCTCTACAGTGTAAACAGTGTTTTTCACTCCTTCCATTTGGAGCTGACAAACCTGGCGAGTGAGCGTTGGGATTAACCCTGTGGCCCCCATGAGCAAACCGGGGCTCGGGGAGCTGGACATACTTGATGGAGATCACGCAGGCCACGCGTGATGGAGGGATGTCGGCCCCGGCACCCTGGCCCCGACCTCCCGCCCTGCTCCCGGGGCCGTGGTGCTTCTCACCTGCTTGGGGAGCCCCAGCCCTGGAGGCCTCTTCATCAGGTCCCCGGGTGCAGCCCACAAAACGCGCCCGGCAGGACCCCGGGTAGACGCTGGGCACTTTTCAGGGGAATTCCAGGCCACCTGCTCCTGCCCGAAGAGGCAAAACAGGGAGCGGACGATCCACGTCGTCACAGGGAGGCAGTCCACGGGACAGTGAGAGCGAAGGGGCCTCAGCCACGAGAGCCGGGGACGTGCGAGGAGCGAGTGGTCGTCCAGTATCCCCGAGAAGGGGCTGCTGGCCCATTTTCCAGATGAGTTCAGAGAGGACACGCAGGTCGTCCACGTCACCACGCGGGTGGTGACACCCCCAGGTCTGCGGGGCTGAGAGCGTGCTGTCCGTGCCTCCCACCCACAGGGGACAAACGGAAGCACCTCCTTTATGCTCTGGCACTTGGCGCTTCTTTCACTGATACCACGTATTTTAACATTGACCAATGTTCACATACTGCCAAAGGACAGACAGCTGACCTGGTTCACTAGAGTCCGGAAGAACCCCAGGAAGTCCCGGGTTAGCTCCCAGTGTGGCTAAGAATTACAGCAATTTTTTTAAAGATTTTACTTATTTATTCATGAGAGACACAGAGAGAGGCAGAGACACAGGCAGAGGGAGGAGCAGGCTCCCTGCAGGGAGCCCGATGGGGGACTCGATCCCAAGACCCCAGGGTCACGCCCTGAGCTGAAGGCAGACGCTCAACCACGGGCGGAGCCACCCAGGGGCCCCAGAATTGCAGCAATGTCGTGAAGCCCAGAGACTTCTTTCTTCTAGGTGACGACTGCGCCCTATCTCCTCAGAAGGAAGTTCAGTAATTCTCCGAAAAGCCAAGGTAAGAGGGAGCGGCTCCCCTCGTCCCCGCTGGGTTTTCCACGCCCTGCGCCGTAAGCTGGTCTAATGCGGTGCGCAGCTCCCGACCGTCTCGTGCGAAGCACAGAACGTGACCTAGTGTCCCTCCGTGTCTCCGTGTGACCAGGACACGGACCTTGTTCCAGGCAGAAAGGCCTGGCTGGAAGGCCTGGCTGCCTCGTGCACGGTGCACGGCCAGGCCGGCGGGGAGCCGTGTGCCCGTGCGTGGATCCCCTCGCAGCCCGGCAGCGGGTCACCAGAGGGAAGCAGCCCCCTTCCTGGGTCAGGGCCCGGTCCCCCCGCTGCTCTGTCAGCCCTCTAAGCCCCGGTGGTGTGTCCCGTCGTCCCTGCGTCGGAGCTCTGTCCTCACCACCCGTCGTGACAGCCAGGGCCCCGGGCACAGCTCTCTCTGTGTCCCTCCTCTGCTCCCGAACAATCGTTGGCCCCCGCCTGCCTGCAGAATGAGTGGGATTTCTTAGCCCTCCAGACGCTCACTTCCTGCCCCACGCGGGGCCCTGGGTGGACAGCACACACCTCGCAGGCCCCTGGGGACTCAGAGCTCTGTGCAAACACGCACTTCCTTACCTTTGCCTGGGCCGGGCCTCCTGCCCAGAGCTCTTCTCAATCCCTTCCCCGAAGGCCGGGTGCAATGTCTCCCCTCGGAGGTTCCCCACCACTTCCAGAATGTTCTCCTCCACCTCCTCAGGGCACGTCTTTGCACACCCCGGTGTGCACCCAGCTCCCCTCCCTGCCAGCTCCCTCTCTGCACCCCTGAGCTCCCAGTACCCCGAGAGGTCAGCCCAGAGACGGAGCTGGTCCCGAGGCCCATTGAGGGGAACCCGCGACCCAGGGCCACCAGCCAGGGGACGGACTTTGCCAGTGGGGCCAGCTGCCACGGGGTGACCAGGAGGTTTCTGGAGCGCATGCACTGGCGCTTGGGGAGCTTCCGGGAGGCCTCATGGCTGAAACCCAAGTGAAGGCTCCCGCTCACAGCAGGAGGACAGGGGAGAGCCCCTTGCCCTCAGAGGCTGCTCACCTGGTCCCAGGCCTGGATACCTCACCGCCCCAGGCCCCCCCGGAGCTGGCGGGCTTTCCCATGGAGGCTGGTGGCCTGCACCCGCCTCTCCTGCCACCATGACCCGCCTCCGCGGAGTGGCTTCTCATCCCGCGTCCCCAGGCCCACCACCCCCAGGGACAGGTGGGGGGCCACGGGTGTCCTCCCTCCCCACCCCGGGATCGCTGGATCAGCAGCCCCCTCAGTAGGGTTGGGTCCCGGAGCAGGAACAGGTGGCAGATCCCAGCCCCGCGTGCCCTGCCCGGAACGGAGCTCCTCAGCTCCCCTGGCAAGATGCGTCACGCAGCCCTACTTGGCGGCTTCCGTGGCGTGAACACCTGCACCATGGTGGATTTGCAGCCACCGCCATGACGTCACGGAGCCCGGGGCTGGGAGGGGGAGACGGGCCCAGCACCCCCCCAGGGAGCAGGTGCCGGGCCTCAGGCAGGCAGACAAGGCCACTGGCCGCCCTCCCCCGGGATCCGCTCGCTGTGGCCACAAGCCGTTGGCTAGGATGTGAGAGCGAGGGCCCTTGGGGGGGCCCCCCCCGTGCTGAGGGCAGCGCCCCCAGGCCCCGCGGCCCACGGCACACCACAGAGTAAAGGAAAGGCAACGGCGCTTGCTGTTTAGCCGGAGGGAGCCTTTCCGACGGGACCGTGAGGCTCGCTCCCAGGCCGCGGAGAAAAGTGGAGCCCACGGGGTGCACGCACGTCCCTAACCGCTTCCCTGCCCCCGAAGGTAGAGCCGCCGACTCTGCTCGGCCATCGGCGTTGGCGTACCGCGGAGGATCCCTGACGCAGAGGAACCCCAACAGCAGGAAGGGGGTGGCCGCCCACAGCTTCGCAGTAAGCTTTCCTCTTGCTCCCTGAGAGCGGGCACCTCGGTGGCCTGGCGGGTTTACGTGGTGACGGTGACGTTAGGACCCCAGAGCACATGGGGGGTGGGGTGGTAACTGGGTGACGGGCACTGAGGGGGGCACTTGACGGGATGAGCACTGGGTGTTATTCTGTATGTTGGCAAATTGAACACCAATAAAAAATAAATTTATTAAAAAAAAAAGACCCCAGAGCACAGACGGGGTGACACTAACGGGTAAAATCGGCCAAAGATTTAAAGGAAAATTGAAAACATTTCTTAAAGGTACCAGAATGTACCAGTGGCAGGGGCCACTGCTCATCCTGGGGTGGGTCTTGGCTTGGGGCAGAGGACACCCCGAGAGGGGACAGTCCATGGGCAGGGAGGGCACCCAGGGAGGGACGACCCACAGATGAGGAGGACACTGGGGGGGACAGCCCACAGACGGGGAGGACAACACGGGGGGACAGCCCATGGATGGGGAGGTCACCTGGGGAGGGGACAGCGCACGGATGGGGAGGACACCCAGGGAGGGGACAGGCGCCCCAACAAGGGGATGCATGTGGGGGGAGACGCGAGGATAGAGGTGCCCGCAGGCCCCACCTTAACTGACGGCGGCGGCACGACCGTGGCCGGAGCTCCGCCGTCCCCACCCAGGGCTGATGACTGTCCCAGAGGAAGTTGCCAGCGGGGACTTGAGAACTGACAGGCTTTCCGATTAGAATATCCCTCCCCACGCTTCAGAGCCTGAAATTCTCAGTCTCCGTCCGTGTACCCTCTGATGAGGGAGTGGCCAGTGCACACAATTGTGTGTGTGTGTGTGTGTGTGTGTGTGTGTGTGTGTGTCCTGCAGAAGCCTGTGATGACCCAGCAGCCCTGAAGGGGCCCGACGGAGCCACCCGGGCCCACCTCCCGTCTCCCTGCACCTCAACTCGTGCTCCTCCACCTGCCCTGAACGTCGTGCTGCACACAGTCGGGGGACACGGGACAAGACGGAGCCCCGTCCGAAAGCGAGCCCTCCTGCGAGGTGACAGCGCTCCAGACCCGCCGCTATCCCCCACCCCTGCTCCCTGACGCCCTCGGCCACCGCCCCTGCCGGCCTGCCCCGACCCCTGAGAAACGCCGAGGCTGACGTGGCTTTCCTGTACGACGGAGTTCCACGCACGTATCGAAGGCCACGGAGAAGAATGCTCCAGCCTGATCTTTTGTCCCTTTCCGAGCCGGCCTGGCCAGAGGGGGGCTGGCCCCGCGCAGCACCTGACGTGTGCTCCAGCCTGGGTGGGAGCAGGGCAGGCGTGCGTGTCCCCATGTGTGCACGTGCGCTGTCGGACCGGGCAACTGCGCGTCGAGGCGGGCGACGGAACCCCTGACCAGCCGACCTCCCCGCCCTCCTCCTGCCCCCCGTTCTGCGAGGCCACCTGGGATTCACAGACTGGGGGCAATCCTGCTGCGGTCCAGGGCACAGCGTGCACAAGGCAGCAGGGGAGCCTCGGATCCACGTTGGAGGGCAGAGGACCTGCTGGGGAGGTGGGCCGCAGGGTGGGTTCCAGCCTGGCGCTGTCACTCATGCAGGGGTCAGCCGGTGGGACCGAGGGGCCAGGACCAACTAGGGATGCCCGCTAGCCACCTGCCGTCAGTTCTGGAGGGGCCCTGAGTCGTCCTCCACCTGGGGCAGCCTGGGAGTCAGGGTTGCTTTTGGGTGACTGGGTGGCTCATCCGGTTCTAAGGGGAGCCCACGGGGACCCTGCGGGGGGGGGCCGCCTCAGAACATGGTAATTGTAATTGCACACGCCCCTCCGCCCCGGCTGCACACTGTGACCCACCCCACGGGGACTCGTGTGTGCAATCTTGGCTTGAATTTAAGCCTGTTTTGTGGACGAGGACACGGAGCCCTGAGTGCGAGGCAGCGTCCCCCTGGAGCGAGAGCTGATCGCAGGCACAGCTCCACGCACCCCCCTCCCCGCACCCACCCAGGACCCCAAGCCTTGCACCTCCACCGAGCCGCAGGTGCAGCCGCCGCCGGGCTGGCCCACGGGCTTCGGGAACCAGCTTCTGGATGGATCCGGCTGCCGGGGCTGCCGGGGTGTGTAGAAGAGACGGGTCTGACACCCCTGCTCCGGGCGGCCACCTGGCTCCTGACTCAAAGCCGAGTGATGGAAGGCGTCCTACAGACGAAAGGGGATCCGTTTCTTTGTTGGCGCGCCCCTCCCTGTTCACAGAGTACCTTAAAGTCAGTGCGAGTTCATGGGAGTCCGAGCAGTGAGTCCGCTGGCCCTGGGTGTGTCCCCGAGGGTTGACAGTGGGTCCCCAGTTTACCTGCTCGTGTCCCAGAACCTCGCTAGCCAGGCTCCTCCCTGGCTGATCTGAGCTCCGAGAACCTCAAACTCCCAACAGCCGGGTGTCCCCTGTCAGGGTGGCCTCGAGGGGCGTGTGAGCCGTCATCGGTGCCTTCAGACTTGTGCCTTCACTCCCTCAGCAGCCCTGCACGGAGACCCGACAGTGCGGGAGGCTGGGGGGGTCCTTCCCAGCCCCTGCCCTGGTCCCGCCGGCCCAGCCCCCCACGCTGGAGCCCCTTCTCCATCCCCATCCGGCCCCAAGGCCTCGGGCCCCTGGGAGCTGGACGTGTGGCCGATTCCACCCCAGAGAGCAGCCACCACCACCGCCTCTGGGGGCTCAGAGTCACCCTTCCAGCCGAACTTGGTCTCACGCCCCAGTTGCTTGCTGTGCCCTCTAGTGTCCCCTCCGGCCTTCCAGGGGCTCCGGCCACGGCTCGCTCGCCTTCGCCCCCACCTCCTGTCAGGAGAACGTGGCTATTTGGAGTGTATCTTTAGGCCAAACACTTCCACTCGGTTCTTTTCCACGATGTCTGGGTCTCGTTGCTCGTGGGACACATCTGCCCGCGTCTTGATAAACCCAGGTGCTGGGTCTATGCCTGTGTCACGGTGCATCAGTGCTGTCTCTGCTCTTGGGAACCGTGGGCCATTGCTCCATGGAGACCTTCGTCGTGACTTGTGACAGCGTCCCCAGGGAGCGCTGGCTGCTTGGGCTGCCGTTGTGGGGGGCAGGAGGGTCACTGTGAGCCCCACTGCCCAGACCCCTTGCCTTCCAAACAAGCCCCTGGGAAGCTTGAGAAGACCTGTCCCCCGAGCCTGGGGGCCACCAGGCCTGACAGTTTTGGGGGAGCTGCTCCCAAGGCAGGCCAGCCCCACCTCCTTTCTCCAAAGTCCCCGTTGCCCCTGCGTCCTCCCGAGGATACCTGCCCCATGGCCCAGACCTGAGTCCATGGATCGGGCCACATCTCTGTGCTGCCTTGTCTGTGATGCTTTTGTGCTACAACAACAGAGTTGGGTCGTTACCATCTGACCCCGTACGGGACAAGGTTGCCGACTCCCGGCCTGGGCCCTTGTCCCGGCTTCTGCAAGGAGCCGTCCCAGGCAGCGGCTGGCAGGGCGAGAGGAGCACACCAGCTTCCTCCAGTCCGGCCCCCCACGGCCCCCCAGCCAGCCGCCCTGCCCTCTCCACAGCCCTCCACCCCTGCACTCCTCCCCCGGCTTGTGCCGGGAAAGGTGCGGCACCCACGCCAGCGCGCACCGTCTTGGCAAACGGGATGCGTTGCATCCTGGAACAGGGGGTGGCAGCCAGCCCGGATCTCGAGGGGCCCCGGGGCTGCTCCTAACAAATTCTCACCCGCCAGCAATGGACCGTCTCAGGGTGGAGGCCGGAAGTCTGGGATCGGCATGTGGGCAGGCCCTGCTCCCTGCAGCCGCTCTCGGAGACACTCCCTTCTCTGCCTGCCCGAGCCTCGGGGGCCCCCGCCGTCCTGAGCCTGTGGCTGCGTCATCCCACGTTGTGGCCCCGTCCTCACAGGGCCCACTGTGTCTGTGTCACATCTCCCTCTGCCCTTCTCTTACAAGGATGCTCATCCCTGGATTTGGGACCCACCTCAGTTATCCGGGTAATCTCATCGGACATCTTCACCCTCCAGACGTGTACAAAGACCCTTTTTGCAAATAAAATCACCTTCCCAGTTTCCAGGCTCTGGAATGAGAGTTTGGGGAGCCACCATTCAACCCCCTGTAGCTAAGTTGGAAAACCTATTATGATCCGCTGACAGAGCGGACTCCCCCCAACTACCACCACCATCCAGACCCCAAAAGGGAGCTCGGGGCGACACTTGCAGGCCAGCGGCCGCCTCCCCAGCCTCCCAGGGAGCCCCGGGCGCAGTCACATGCTTCACAGGGGCCCAGGCGACAGGCCACCCTCCCCGTCCCACCCAGTGGCCCTGCCACGCTGCCCCTTGCCCTCCCGACCCCCGTCTTCACGGAAACCCCCACCCCATGGCTATTCACCTGGTGCAGACTCAGCACCCACTGCCCCACTGGAGGCCAGAGCACCCGTTTTGTGCAGTAAACCCCCAGTTCCACCACTTCAGGGAAGAGAGACGACCAGGAGGGGGTAGGCAAGCAGCCGTGGCCATGACCAGACGTGACGTCCCAGGGCCCAGCCTGCGCTGACACCATGGAGAGCTTCGGGTACAACGTGCATGGGGCCTCGCCAGGTAGTAACTTGGTGGCCCGAGTGCCAGACTAGCCCGCAATGGCCTACCTGGGGCCCACGGCAGCACCCGGCATGGACACGCAGCCGCCAGACTGCCCGTTCACGGGGCTGCGGACTTGAGTGACCATCTCCCCAAGGCAGGGCCCCGGATAACTGAGGTGGGTCCCAAATCCAGGCAGCTGAGCATTCCGCAGACAGACAGGGCAGGCTCCCGTGGCGGCACGCTGGCAGGTTCAGGGTGCCTCCGAACCGCGCACCCCGGGCTGGCCTTCCAGGGCTCCCACTACTGCTCACGCTCCAGACAGGACCCTGAGGCTGCATCCCTGGCGGGGGGAGGAGGGTCCTGGCGCACGGGGAGGACTTCCCTGGGAATCACGCAGGCGGCAGAGATGAGAGTCAGCCTGAGTCCCCAAGGGCTGGCCAGGGGGAGGGTTTCCTGCCGCCTCCGAGTGGGACCCTTGCCGGGCTGCTCCCCATCCAGGCCGTCACTCGAGCTAGGACCTGAATCCACCCTGCTTTGCTGGGAGGCAGGTGCCTGCGTCCTCAGGAGATACGGGGAGCCCACGCCGACAGCTGTGCTCTGGCTCCTGTGGCATCAAGTGAGGGGGGATCGTTTTCGTGGTTCAGTCCCCCCACACTACCTGTAAATTGCACTATTTGAAAGGCTTCTCCTGGGGCACCCGGGCGGCTCAGTCGGTCAGACCCCTGCCTTCAGCTCAGGTATGATCCCACGTCGGGCTCCCTGCCTCGCCCTCTGCCTGCCACTCCTCTTGCCTGTGGTGTCGCTCTCTCTGTGTCGGATAAATAAATAAAATCTTGAAAGAAAGAATTCTCCTGAGTCCCTTTTTCTAGGAGATGGTCGTTCGTGAGACACCTTCCCTGGAAGCTGAATAGAGACAGGCCAGGGACCCGTGACCCTGGGGCTCACCTGCTTCTAACCAAGAGCAGGAGAAGTCAGTGGTTTCATTATGACTCCAGATGGATATCAGAGTCAGCATTTAAAATTTCTCCCGAGTGGGGACAACCGGGTGGCTCAGCTGGCTAAGCATCTGATTCCTACTTTTAGCTCAGGTCCTGATCTCAGGGTCGGGAGATGGAGCCCTGTATCGGGCTCTGTGCTGAGCGTGGAGCCTGCTTAGGATTCTCTCTCTCTCTCTCTCTCTCTGCCCCTCCGCACTCACTCTCTCTCTTAAAAAAAATTAATTTAATTTTTAAAAAGTTGAAATTTCCCCAGACTTTTATTCCCCAGCAATCTTCTTTATCAGGGAAAAGAGAAAAAGCTTCATGAGGAGGTGAATGCACGATCCCTCAAGGATCCTTCATGGTTTAAAGTGAGCCAGGCCCTAGCGTCCGATGCACTGGGGTCCAGGGCTGGTCCACTCGGCTCCCGGCAGGTGGCTGGGGAAATACACAGCCTCCCAGGCTGTCCCCTGTGCATCAAGCCCCAAGCCAACCCCGGGCCGGTGTTCCTTCACCGCAGCGATACAGCAAGCCACGATTTCTGTCTCAGAGCACGGCGAGGAAGAGCCCACTTCACAGGCAGCCCTGTGATAACTCACCCCAAAGGCACCGTAGGATTCCTATGCACCTGCTTTCTGGTCCCCAAATACCTGGCATCCGGCACACGGGCCAGCCAAGTGACCTTTAAGCGTGCCCCCGAGGCCCATAGCACCAGAGTTGTGTTTGCACGGAATTATTATTACCTGTGAGCTATCTTTGTGTTGTGTTGGGAAGAAAACAGAAAATGTAGATACACTAAGGAAACAAGATCAGTCAGCGCCGTCTCTCAACCAGCAGCCCCCGCCACCCCTCCGGACATCCATCCGTACATTCGCTTTCAACTTAAAACTCCTGCAGGTGAATTCACCGGCGAGAGGTGAAGCCGCCTCTGGATGTTACCCCACTCCTGTGGCTTCTCAGGAAAGAGCTGGCTGGGGAAAGAAGGGTTTTCCCCTCTCCTGCTGCTGGATTCCCCTCCAGACGCCTACAGCAAAGCCCGCCCAGAGGCAGCCTCACAGGTTCTAAACAAGCCACTTGTCCTCCAACCTCCCAAGTACGTCCACACCTGCAGCTCAGCGGTGCCCAGGCTCAGAGTCCCAAGGCCACGGTCATGCTGGAGACAGTAGCACTGGACTACATCCCTGCAAATGCTTGCAACAGCTGGTGATGGTCAGTCTTTTTTTTTTTTTTTTTAAGATTCTACTTATTCATGAGACAGAGAGAGAGAAAGAGGCAGAGACACAGGCAGAGGGAGAAGCAGACTCCATGCAGGGAGCTCGACATGGGACTCAATCCCGGGCCACGCTCTGGGCTGAAGATGGCGCTTAACCGGGCTGCCCAATGGTCAGTCTTTTGTATCTACTTGACTAGGTCACAGTGCTCTGATGTCTGGCCAAACACCAGTCTAGATGTTGCTGTGACAATATTTTTTAGATGTGACTAACATTTGCGATTAGCTGCCTTTGAGTAAAGCAGATTCTCCTCTGCAATGTGGGTGGGCCTCATCTAATCAGTTGAAAGTCTTAAGAGAGCAAGGTCTCCCAAGAGGGAATTCTGTCCCAGGACTGGCTTCCAACTCTGGCTACTACATCATCCCTTCCTTGAGTCCCCAGCCTGTCATCTTACCCCGTAGATTTGAGGCTTGCCAGCCTCATAACCACAAAATCCAGTTCCTTAATCCTCTCTCTCTCTCTCTCTCTCCCCCCCCCACCCCCACACACACACACACACACTATTGGTACCATTTCTCTGGAGAACCCTGACTAATGCACAGTTCCCACATAAGAGCTGCGTCTAACATTTCCCACACTGGAAACTCAGAAACCAGCTGGATGGGAGTCAACGTGCAAGCGTTGGAGAACACCATTTCCGTTGACCACAAACGCGATGCCAAGTTCCCAGAGCCGCTGCCTCTCGGGGCAGGAAGATGCTCCCACTGCTGCTCATCTCTCACTAAAACTTGATCCCTGCTCCCAGGAACTTCATTTCCCACATGACACATACTTTCTAACTTAAAGATGAGTCCTTTAACGCGTTCTCAAGAATTTGGATTTTCAGTGGGAGGAAACATGAAGAGACGTTTCTCCAAAAGACCAGACTTTTGGACCTACGTGTGTAGGTCTTCTTTGGAAGGTCTTCTTCTTCTTCTTCTTCTTCGTTGGAAGATCTTCTTCTTCCAATCTGCATGTATAGGTCTTCTTTGAAGAAGATCTTCCAAAGAAGACCTACACATGGCCAATAGACACGTGAAAAAATGCTCCACATCACCACTCGGCATCAGGGAGATACAAATCCAAGCGCAACGAGATACCACCTCACAGCTGTCAGTGGCTAAAATTAACCACTCATGACGCAACAGATGTTGGCGAGGATGCGGAGAAAGGGGAAACTTCTTACATTGTTGGTGGGGATGCAAACTGGTGCAGCCCCTCCGGAGAACAGGATGGAGGGTCCTCAAAAAGTTAAAAATAGAGCCACCCTGCAATCCAGCAATTCTGCTACTGGCTATTTACCCCCAAAGATACAAATGAGGTGATGAGAAGGGGCACCTGCACCCAGATGGAAAGAGCCCAGATGTCCATCGACAGATGACTGGACAAGGAAGATGTGGTCTATATCCCCACAATGGGATATTACTCAGCCATCAGAAAAATAAAACCTTGCCATTTGCAACGCCACAGATGGAAACGGAGGGTTTTATGCTAAGTGAAATGAGTCAGTCAGAGAAAGACAATTTATGATCTCACTCCTATGTGGAATTTAAGAAACAAAACACATGAACACAGGGGAAGGCAAGGAAATATAAAATAAGACAGAAGCAGAGAGAAGGAGACAAACCATAAGAGCCTCTTAACTCTAGGGAACAAATAGGGTTGCTGGAGTGGAGGGGAGGCAGGGAGGGCGATGGGGTAACTGGGGGGTGGGCAGGAAGGAGGGCACGTGATGGGATGAGCACTGGGTATTGTACACGACTGATGAATCACTAGATTTTACCTCTGAAAATAATAATACACCTTTGTTAGTTAAATCGATTTTAAATTTAAAAATTTTTTAGGAAAGAATTTGGGGAGCACCTGGGTGACTCCGTTGGTTAAGTGTCTGCCTTTGGCTCAGGTCATGATCCCGGGGACCTGGGATTGAGCCCCACATTGGGCTCCCTGCTCAGCGGGGAATCTGCATCCCCCTCTGTCCCTCCCTGCTGCTTCTGCTCATTCTCTCTCTCTCTCTCTGTCAAATAAATAAATAAAATATTTTTAAAAAATTGGATGTTCAGAAGCCTCCTCTGTCAGAAGCTTCTTTGCTGTTGACCAGTGGCCCCATTCGCCACGGCCACTCTGCAGCTAGGACACTGGTGGCCCCTTCCTTCCAGAAGCTCTGAGGGAGACACCGTGTAATCCTCCAGCCAAGCTCCTGGTGTCGGTTGCCAGTCCTTGGCGTGTGGCCACATCACTCCCCAGTCTCTGACTCCGTCTTCACAGCACCTAGTCCTGCTGTGTCTCTGTGTGTCTGTCCTCTCTTGGACACCAATGACTGGATTCAGGGCCCACTTCACCCAGCATGACCTCATCTTCATGTGGCTGCATCTGCAAAGACCCTTTTTCCCCATAAGGTCACGTTCTGAGGTTCCTGGCTGACATGAATCGTGGAGGGACACTGCTCAGCCCGTTGCACCATTGCAGTCCAAAGGCCAAGCCCCAGAACAGCCGCCCGTCATCGTGCTACCTGCCGGGTATGCCCGGGAATCCACCGTGTTGAGGGTAAAAGTTCAAAGATCTCAAAACCATCAAGCTCCCTCCAAAGAGTGGGATCCTCTTCCTCATGCTAACGTGAAGAACGAGGAGGGGAGAGCTCCTCCCGAGGTCCCTCGATGTGAGACTCCCCTAATAACAAGGAGCAGAAGCCACTCAAACGGGCGCAAGTGAGATGGAGAGGGAATGAGACCCGGGGTGCTCTCCTTCAGGATGGTGGGAACCCAAGGCCCAGCCCGGGGGTGGCCAGTGCTCAGGGGCGGTCATGCCCCTGTGACCTCTCGGAGGCGTCCCTCATGACCGTGAACCACTCACCGGACTTCTCGGCAAGTGGCCCAGCGGCCTCTCCTGGCCTGGTCCTGAGTGTTCCCCTGCCGTGGTCGTGGCTCACAGCTCCAGACACAAGGAGACAAGCGTGCAGGGCCAAGTGTGTCCTAGGTGCTGGCCATCCTAGGGGGACAGGGACCGGCCAGATCCACATGAGGAGCCCCCCAGCTCGGTTAGCAGGGGGAGCAGGTCATGTGATCCCACGCATGGGTCACAGCGACCACCTAGGTTTGGGCCTCAGAAACCAGACTACGGTCTCTGCACCAGGGTCGGAGGGCCTCCCTCTAGGGCGCACCTTCCGCCTACACCTGTAAGGAGTCGACTGCCTGCCAGCCACACGGGGGGCCCAACCCAGCCCACGGCCTGGTTTCGTGAAAGTCCACCACAAACATTCACGTTCTGGTCACCTGTGGCTGCCACAGAGACTCTGGCCCTCGAGGCTGAGGAGGGGTGCCCACCCTGACAGACCACGGTGTGCTGTGGGCAGGGGGCAGGACAGTGGAGGGGTTTGAACTCTCGTGTGCAGGGCGGCCAAGGATGGGAGGGCGGATGGGAGCAAGGCCGCGATGCCCATGCCACCTCCCGCCCCAGCTGCCGGCCATCACGTGCCCGGGGCCCCACAGTGGCCCAGTGCCAATGCCACGCTGTGACAAAGCTACTTAGCTAAAGGGGGAGGATTCACTATCCCCCATACACACACATGCACATGCAGGCACTGTACACACACACACACACACATGCATGTACAGGTGCATGCACAGGCAGGCACAGGTGCACATGCATACATGCACACGCAGGCATGTGCACACACGTGCATGCATACATACATGGTGCACGTGCACACACGCACATGTACACATATGCACACACGAGCCCATGCACACACGCTCCCACAGTGGTGCCCAGGAAGCTGCCCACGGCTCCTGCGATCTCAGTTGCTCTTGCTCCAGGTGCTCACATCTCTGGGGACCCCACCCCCAGACAAGGCCACACCCCACGAGAGCGCCCTCCATCATCATCACTCCTCTTCACCAGGACCCTGCTAACCCGGGAATTCCAACAGAATCCAGCCCCAGTGCCCTCACCCCGCAGCCCAGGGTGGGAGCCCTGCACCTGCCCTCCACCCCCGGGCTCCTCATGCCGCCCCCCTCACCGGTGCCCCCGGGCCCCCGACCACCCAGGGAGCCCACGGAACCTTCAGCACCACAATGGGCAGCCGCGGGGCAAGAGGGATGTGCGTGGGACCAATCCCCTGAAGGGCCAGGTGCAGCCCTGAAGCTTTCACTGGACGTCCGCCGACAGAGGCATGAAGTGGCCTGTTGTCCCCCCACACGCATCCGAGGGGAGCCACCAGCTGGTCTCCCCCAGGACCAGCACCTTAAGACTGCTCGCAACGGCACCCTCCTGGCCGTCTCACCCTCTGCGGCCATCAGAATACGGCTGGGGTGGGGTCTTAAGTCCCGGCTCGACGGTGCTCTGCAGCTAACGGCATAAATACACAGATTTTTTTAACTCGAGGACGTGATTGTTGAATGAAAGCGGTGAGATTCAAAACGCGGATGTCCGGTGAATGTACCCTGAAAATGGGTGCACATCCAGCAAGTGTGCCCAAAATATATGTGGATGCCCAGCAAATGTACCCAAAAAACGTGTGGGCGTCCAGTGAGTGTACCCAGAACGCGTGTGGCGAGGTGTCCCACTAGAAGGAAATACACCGCAGCGCCGGGGGACTGCCTTCCTCAACATTACTCGTGCTTTTTCCCCCTAATTGTCCCGATGCGCTAAATTCTTCCCAAATGTATATAAATCGCTTTTATTATAAAAAACTTATGATTCTATAATAAAAAATCAATGTATTTGTTTTATAGCAATAACAAACCTGCTCGTTCTACACATTGACCATGAAGACTGTGGACGGCCTAGGGGGGAAGCATCTTGTACGTCACAGAGAAACGGGATGGAGGAGGTGCGGCCGTGAGAGCCCGCAGGTGACCCCGGGGGCGGAGGGCGGCGGCGCGGGGCCAGGCCCGGGCGGCTCCCCCAGGTGCCTCGCTGCGTTGGCAGCGTCTCCCGAGTGGCCCCCGCGGTGGCACAGACCTTGCCGGCAGCCCAAGGGCCGGCGCGAAGAAGGAAGGCTAATGTGTTTTAAAACCACTCGACCCAAATGAGATTATAGAACCCAGGAAGGGACAAATTGCGTCGCTGATGAGTTTTTAAAAAAATAGAAGAAAGAACACAGAGGCTCTGTCCTGATGCCACCCTGGGAGGGAGGGGGACGCGGAGAGGGGCGCGTCTGGGGGATCGGCTGCTTCCTCCTCCTCGGGTTATAAAAGGGGGTGGCGAGCTGGCTCCGCCGGGGTCGCCGCTGCGCCGCAGCCCGCTTGCGCCACCCTCGTGGGGACCCGTGGTGAGTAGCTGTCGCCCTGCTTCGCTCTCCTCCTTCCCTGTCACTCTCCTCTCTGTGGGGCTGGACGGGCCCTCCCTGCGGCCAGGGGCTGGTGGGGCAGAGGGGCACCCGACTGCCCAGAGCCCCCCCTGCTCAGGTGTGTTGGCCGCGGTGGTGACAAAAGGCAGAGGTGTCCCATGCAACTCCTCCGGGAATGCAGACCAGGAAGCCGAGGGTCCTGGCAGCAAAAATCGCCACCTGGCAGGGAAGCAGGTGGCTGGGGACCAGGAGCGGGGGGCTGACCTCTCTTACCACCTGGTGCGGGTCCCACCCGGAGGGACAGGAAACCGCCCGGCTGGTCTGGATGGGTCTCCCTGTTACTCTGCTTCCACGGTGGCACCTCCAACTTCCTCCAGTTTGGGGGTCCCCGCCCCACCCGGTGTGTGATGCCCCAGAGGGTCTCTAAAGTGGAGAGAGCTGGGCATCTTAAATCCCTCAGACCGAGAGCACTTTCCGTGGGCCTCGGACAGGCTGCAAAGGCAAGGCCGGCAGAGGGGGTCCTCCCTCAAACCCACGGGGCTCCCAGGCACCCGCCAAGGGTGTAGGTGCGGGTGGGAGGAGAGCTGGGCCTGCTGAGGACGCTGCGAGGCAGGTCAGCACCTGTCCTCGGGCCGGGTGAGAGGACTCTCCGGTGCCTCTGCTGCCCACGGCCCTCTTGGCCTGCCACGCGCCACACATGGGGGTCCCATGGCCTGGGAGCAGGTCCCACCTGCTGGAGATGTATTGCATCAGGGGTCATGACAAAGGTGGGGGGGGCTCTGGGCAAGGACGGAGCGTAGACCCCCCCACATCGCCTGCCCTGTGGGGTGGGGTGAACAGGCTCCGGGGGCTGGGCCAAGCCAGGGAAAGAAGCCTGCACCCCAGCCGGGAGCCCCGGCCGGGTCTGAGGTAGGCAGACGGCCCCCACCCTCCACGGTGACCCCGGGCCCCCTGGGCCCAGCTCCCCACAACCTGCCCACCTCTGGCCGCCTGCCCAGCTGCACGGCACATGCACACCCCCCCTCCAGACAGACAGACAGACCGAGGCAGTTCCCACACAGCCCACCTCTCGGCACCCACAGCTTACACCCTCCCGGGATCCTTCTGACGGGAGGGTCGGAGCAGACACGTGTGAGCCCCTCGGAGGCTGACACACTCAGGATCGCCTCAGGTAACACTCACTGTCAGAGGAGGGAACGAAGCCCCCGGGGGTGTTGGGGGGACTTTGCAAGGAGCCAGGTTTGCCTGCCAGATACGCGCCCAGGCCCGGTCCCGCTCGGATCGGAGGCGCACACGCTGCAGCCTGGCTGCACACGCATGCACTCCACATGTGCACACGCTCTCGTGTACACCGGCCGGCACGCACACTCTGTCTCGTCCATGTGTGCACACTATGCACACCCTGTCACACACACCGTGCTCTCGGCAGCTGAGGCTGCCGCTTTCGTGTGCGGAACACGGCTCCTGCCTTTTGCCCCAGGTCGTGCCCTCCCGTGCAGATCCCACCTCCAGTGGGGCCTGAGCCAGGAGCCCGGGAATGAAGGCTTTGCACACCTGCCTCTTGTGCCTGCTGCTGCTGGGCCTCACCCTGCTGGGGGCCGCCCACCAAGGCCACCCGCATTCCATGGAGATCCGCAGTGAGTGCCCACCTCCCTCACCCCCCACCCCTCCATCCCCAGGGACCCCGGCGGGGACCTGGTCACCTCCTAACCAGGTGGGGGGGAATGGCCTTGCTAGGTGGCTCAGCTCTAGGAGGGGGTGGCCTTTCCCCGGAGTGGCCCTGCTCCCTGGTGCCCCTGCCCCTGCATAGCACACAGTTGAGAGGGTCACTTCCTGCCCCCCGGGGTGGCCGGGACCAGAGCTGCCTTTTCCCAGCCCTGGCATGAGAACCTGGGGCGGGGGGCGCTGGGTGGGGGGAAGAAGGGATTGCTGGTGAGTTTGAATTCCCATTTCCCAAAGCCACCCACTCCCCAGCACTGACCTCGCCACGCCCCCTGGGTGTCCCTGGTCTGCAGGTGGGTCCCGGCAGGGCCTGGGCCAGTGGGCAGCATGGAGCCAAGAGCCCCCGTTGGGAACGCTGGGCCCTGCCACCCGTGGGGGCACACAGTGCACCCAGGCGGGGGAACGCACCACCCACACCCGCACCCTGCTCTGGCCCTTCCCTTCCAGCCCCTGACATCGATCCTGCCTGGTACACGGGCCGCGGAATCAGGCCCGTGGGCCGCTTTGGCCGCAGGAGAGCAGCCCTGGGGGATGCGGTGAAGCCGAGCCTCTGGCGCCAGCCCCCCTGCCTCCCCCTGCAAGGATGCGCTGAGCCCTCCCAGGGCAGGTGACGGCCCCGCACGCAGTGGAATAACCCCAGAAGCCACCCCCCTGCACCCGCATCCCTCCACCGGCTACATCCCCTTCAGTCCTAATAAAAGCAGCTGGTCTTGTATAGGTGTGTCTTTGTGGTGGCAAAGGGGAGCTGTTCTCCCTCCTGGGACGTTAGCCTAGAAGGACACTCAGCCCAGCAGCCCAGAGGCTCCACGACTTGCCCGAGGGCACCCAGCACTGAGTAGGGGAGCTGGGCCCTTCCGGGCTCACGGGAAGCCCATCGCACGCGTGCCCTCCACCTTGGCTGCCCCAAGGGGCTGCCCAGGCTGCACACTGCACCACCTGGGCAGGAGGACGGATGGCACAGCCCCTCGGCCTGGCCTGGCCCTCCCTGAGCCCTGTCCCTTTTACCTCCCTTGCTGGCACTCAAAGGAGGAAGAGAAGTGTGAGCTGCTTATTTCTTTTCTTTTTTTTTTTTTTGAAAGATTTTATTTATTTATTCATGACAGAGAGAGTCAGAGACACAGGCAGAGGGAGAAGCAGGCTCCCTGCGGCGAGTCCGATATGGGACTCGATCCCGGGACTCTGGGGTCACAACCTGAGCTGAAGGCACAAGCTTAACTGCTGAGCCACCCAGGCGTCCCGAGCTGCTTGTTTCTAATCAACAGCAGGGGACTTGAACCTAAATGAACCACAATGTGTCCCTTTACCACCGGTCTCAATTCGCGCCAAGATGTCCCATGTCCTGCCTCCGATGTAGGTTGCTTTGGTGCCAGGGCCACATCACCACTCACGGGGCAGCTGAGCCCAGCTCCTGACTCTGAGACTCAGTTTCCACACCTGAACACCCCAGGACAGTAACACCTGCCTCATTCCAGGGGGCAGGCAGGCACAGCACCTGCTGGCAGCCAACACAGTGGGCGTCCCGTGTAAACGCCTTCCCAAGACCGGCTCCAGCCCAGCGTGCAGGAAGGAGGGTGGTGGGGACGGGCCCGTCCGTTTACTTCCAAACCCAAAGCTCGTGGGCCTCTATCTGCACCCTGCCTACAAGGTCTCAGGAGCCCCCACTGACCACAGGGCACAGTCGACACCCAGGAGGCCTCAGAGCAGGCCTGTGGGACCCCAGACCCCAGATGTCCCTGCTCAGGGAAGATGGGCCTGTGGCTCACCAGACCTGGAGAGGATGCAGAGCTGCCTCACTCCCCAGCCACAGGAGGCCTCAGGGAGGGCAGAGGTCAGCCCCTCCCAGGGAAGAGCCCCTGCTACGTGGGCACCTGCCCAGGGTGGAGTGAGCGAGGGACCGGGAGGGGTCAGGGGGGCTCCAGCTGCTGGACCAGGCCTGGAAGCGTGGGCAGCCAGGAAAGCCGTCTGGCACTTCCTCAGAAAGTCGGAGAAGTCGCCATATGGCCCATAGCACCCCCGGGTGTGGACCCGAAAGAACAAAGAACAGGTGTTCCAACAAATATTTATACAGAAGTGTTCGCAGCAGCACAGTTCACAGTAGGCAAAAAAAAAAAAAAAAGTAGAAACAGCCCAAATACCCACCAACAGATAAGAACGGATAAGATGTGTCGGCCACACCGCAGATTATTGTTCAGCCATAAAAAATAAAGGACCCAGATGGGCCGAATGCTACAGCTTGGGTCCTTGAGAGCCTGATGCTGAACCGGAGAAGCCAGACGCAGAAGCCCACACGCCGCGTGACCGGATCTCCACGAATGTGCGAGACAGAGACAGAGGCGGAGAGTAGATCTGGTTGCCGGGGTAACTGCCTCACGGCGGGGCTTTCCTCGCCAGGGATGACCACGTCCTGGAACCGGACTCAGGAGTGCTGTAAATGTGCTAACACCACTAAATTGCATTTTTTTTTAAGTGTTCACAACCCGGGGTGGGGCTCAGACAGGGCAACGCAGGGGTGTGGGGACGGGCTCCGGAGCGCGGCACCCCGGGCGGGCGGCCCCAGGACACTGCGACGCCTTCTGTGCCCGGGTGGGCGGTTTCACGGTTCCTACAACTTAATTACGAAAGTTTCCGCGCACACAAGACAAAGTAACCTAATTAGGTTACCCGAAAAGTAACCTAATGAGCATCCAGGTACCCTCCGCTTAGACTCAACAATCATTACCATGTTTTCTCTCTCCCTCTCTCATTTGGAAGTTGTAGACATCATGACATTTCTCCTAAGTATTTCCACGTGTTTCTCCTCAAAATAAGGACAGTGTCCTACATAACCACAAAATCACTGTGCCTGAGACATTTTCTTTCGAGTAATTCCATAATATCATGTGGTTTCCCCCTAATTCAAAAACCCCCAAGTATGGACAGAAAGTCTTGCCTGTCTTTCTTTCTTTTTCTCTTTCTTTCTTTTCTTTCCTTCCTTCCTTTCTTCCTTTCTTTTTTTTCTTTTTATTTATTTATTTATTTTTCTTTTCTTTCTTTTCTTTCCTTCCTTCCTCCCTTTCTTTCTTTCTTTTTTCTTTCTTTCTTTTCTTTCCTTCCTTTCTTCTTTTCTTTTTTCTTTTTCTTTCTTTCTTTCTTTCGTAACCAGGCTTCAATCTAAATTCACTGTTGCAGTTAGTACTGCTCATTAGTCCCTGATCCTCTTCTTTCGTCGTGATATTGACTTTTACAAGAACCCAGACACATTATCCTGTATTATGATCCGGTGTGTGACGTGTTGATCCATCCCTGGAGGGCTGTTACCTTGTTCTTTTTTTTTTTTTTAATTTTTTTTTTATTTATTTATGATAGTCACAGAGAGAGAGAGAGAGAGAGAGAGGCAGAGACACAGACAGAGGGAGAAGCAGGCTCCATGCACCGGGAGCCCGACGTGGGATTCGATCCCGGGTCTCCAGGATCGCGCCCTGGGCCAAAGGCAGGCGCCAAACCGCTGCGCCACCCAGGGATCCCTGTTACCTTGTTCTTGTTCCTCATTCTTCTCTCCCTGCATTTCCTGTGGTCTGAGAGCGAGATCCAGGGCCTCAGCCGGATTCAGTTCCTCACTGGGGACAGCAGAACCCTGTGTCCCTTCTGTTGCACCACATCTGATGGATGGTCCCGGCCCCACTTGGAGAGATGCGGGCCTGACCCTCCCCTCACTGTATGTTTGAGGCAGCAGCTGGTTTACCTTGAGCCCGGAGCCAGTGATCCAAGCACCCCCTGAACATCCCTGCTGGGAACAGATGACCCCATGGGTGGGTTGGTGGGTCGAACAAAGGAGATTTTCCAATTCCTTCCCCACTGATTAGCTGGATTCTTCTAAAGGAGGTATTTCTCTCCCTCTTTCTTTTTGTTCAACACCTTACAAATAATTTTCGATGCTCAAATTGTCCTCAGTTTGGTCAGTGGGAGCCCCAAGAAGAGAATACACATTTTTTCAGTCGGCTGCACACCCAGTGTGGAGCCCAACATGGGGCCCGACCTCACGACCCTGAGATCAAGACCCGAGCTGAGATCCATAGTCCCACCGAGCCTCCCTGGCGCCCTGGAAATAAATTTTTAAATTTAAAAATGGGCCCCTGAGTCAGGCCCTCTGGATTGTTAAAAAGCAAAATTCAAACATTTGAAAATCTAATTGGCTTTATGAAGTGACTCAGGAATCGGGCAGCATTCACTCTAGCTGGTAGAGAGGTGCTCCGCCCAGGAGCAGAAAAGGAAAGGTTTTTAAAGGCAGAGAGAAGAAGAAAAAAAAAGAAAAGGCAGAGAGAAGGCTTTTTTATTTTTTAAGAAATTTATGGGCATCACTTGCCTTCCTAAGGGGGACGGGGTCTTTCAGAAGATTGCCTCCGGGACATTCCAGCTTGACAGGTTAAAGGTCTCATTCCAGGGGGATTTGAAACTGCAGTTGGGTTAAGTACTAAATCTTGCTTGACTGATGCCTTAGCATCAGTGGCTCCGTTAGGGCCTCGTGGTTTCCTTCCTGGCAGTGCAAAGGGGCCTCTTCCAGGGGGGCTAGAGAGACACCTGCCACAGCAACAGAAGACGGGGAAAGGGTACGGTCCCAGGCAGGTCAGCAGGCCTCCTCTTAGGGGCACCTACCAAAGTTGGAGCCTCCTGCCACCATCCTGTACACGCCTATGCACATGTGCACACGCACATACACACACAGCTCCAGAGAGGACCCAGCTCCAAACTCGGGCTGAGCAGGGCTGCAGCAGCTTCCCAGGCCGCGGGCAGCACAGGGGGCTCCCAGGTTGGCCTCCCGCGGGACCCGAGGCCATTGCACACCTGCAAGTGGTATTCCTGAGGAGTCTTCTCCGGGAAATGCCGCCGGCCCCCTGGGTGCATCTCTACGCGTGCTCTCCGCCCACTGCCCCCCACCCCATGCCCCGTCACAGGGGTCCAGACAGAGCAGAGGTGACGTGGGCTCTCTCCAAAGCCTGGCACACAGACCCTTCCATACATACCTGTCAGCTGGGGTGGAGGCTGGCTTTGGAAAGTCTGCCTTCCCTTTACGTCTCAGCGAAAGAAATTGTTTCCATCCTCTTGTTTGGACACACGTTTGTTGAGCACCTGGCATGTGTCAGATGTTGCACCAGGCACTGAGCACCCCAGAGAAGGAAGGCTAGAACCTCTGCCCTCCGGGCGGTTCCCCACCTTGCCAGCATATTAGGTTCACCTGGGAGGGCTCCAAATGCCCGGGGCCCAGGGCCAAGCTGCACCGCAGACCGTTTATTTATTTATTTTTAAGAATTGATTGATTGATTTGACAGAGAGAGGGAGGGAGAAGCAGGCTCCCTGCTGAACAGAGAGCCAAATGTGGGGCTCAATCCCAGGACCCCAGGATCATGACCTGAGCCAAAGGCAGATGCTTAACAGACTGAGCCCCCCAGGAGCCCCCTGCAGGAGGATCTGAGCAAAGCCTGTGGCGCGCAAGGGGGGCTGCGGCAGAGGCTTCCAGGTGATTCCAACACAGGGTTGAGCCACCTGCCGAGTAGGGCAAGGAGAGGGAGAGGAGAATCACAGCTGGGCAATGGGGAACGTGAGCTCCAGGAACACAAGGCGCCCCATCCAGTCTAGGGGCACCATGGAAGGATGCCCGGTGGAAATCCACCCAAGGATATGCTTCTTTTTTTTTTTAAGATTATTTATTTATTCATGCACGACAGAGAGAGAGAGGGGCAGAGCACAGGCAGAGGGAGAAGCAGGCTCCATGCAGGGACCCCGATGTGGGACTCGATCCCGGGACCCCAGGGTCATGCCCGGGGCCCAAGGCAGGTGCTCAACCGCTGAGCCACCCCGGCGTCCCAAGGATATGCTTTAATAATAAATTCTAGCGCAGTGATACCAGCTTGACAAAACGGAGGGGGATAGGCATAGATACGTGGGCATCCTACACACAACATCCTTATCTGCCCACTTCCTGTTGCATCAATCAGCTGCTGGGAAATCTCAAAGCCCGGCCTTTAGCAGAGCTGGTTCGGTGACCCTGTGCCCTTGAGCCGGGGTTGCCCTGAGCGATGCTGGAGCGCCATCTAGTGGCCCGGGGTGACCTCAGGTCCCGCTGCCGCCCAGGTGGGTTCCACCAGGTGGGCGCAGGGGGTCCCCAGCCCTGATGCAGGGGGGAGGCCTGGGGAGAGCATGAGCACGAGGACACACCTGGGCACCCCCAGGGACTCACACCCCACGTACCTCATCAACTCGGGAATAATCATATGAAAAACCGTGTGACTTGCCTACAGTCAGAAACTGCCAGCAATGACATTGTTTAAGAAAAAACAGTGTGTGAGTGGAAGTCTGGGTCGCAGGCCCTCCCAGATGCTTTTTTTTTTTTTCTCCTCTCAGATGCTTTTATTTCTGTATTTGTCCTTTAGCTTTTCTCGAAGATCATGACAAGAGAAGCCTTGGGAAATCTGCATTTGTCCAGAGAGACACAGGAGAAGCTCCTTGAGAATATGCATCGGGGAGGGGCCTGGATCCTGGGCTGCCGTCCCCCACCCCTGCCCCCCGCCCCCGGTCCCCCGTCCCCAGAACAGACGCTGGGTCTGCCCGGGCCCAGCTCCCTCCAGTGAGGATCCTGTGAGGCTGGCCTTATAGATGAGGAGGGAACCAGGGGTCCACCTCATAGGAGGCCTTGTGGGGAGCCTTGACCTCTGGCGGGACACAGCCACGCTGAGGCCACCTCACCTAGCTCACCAATGCCTGGCAGTGTCCCGGTCAGTCCACTGCCAGGGCTCTCCATCTGCTGGGCCCCAACCACAGGCCCAGGCCTGAGGCTGGGATGATGGGCCCATGCGGGGTGGTCGAGAGCAGAAACCAAGTCCAGAGGAGCCCCCAGAAATGCGGGTGCACCCTTTGTGGACGTCGGGAGTTCAGAGTCAACGTGAAAGGACGCTCTACGTGTCCTGCTGTTGATCGTTACCGTTGATACAGCAAAGCCACCCTTTCCAGGTGCAACACGATGCCTTAGGATTTAAAATTTCAGACTTGGCTTATCACAGTCCTTGCAAGGATGGAAACCAACACCATCCCCCCCCCCAAAAAAAAAATATAGCCACCCTCGAAACACTCTCACTGACACTAGGGTTTAGCTCCCAGGACGACCACCGGGGCCCTGGTGGTAAAGCAGGCAGTAACGAGGTGAACACACGGTGTGTCACCCCGGGAGAAACGTCCTGGGCCTCCTGGGCCGCAGCCTGCACATGGGCCCGCCTCCTTATTCCCTCAGCACCAGCCCTCCTAGAACACGTGCCAGGGCAGACCCCAACCTTGCAGACTCACCGACGGGCAGGTTATCGAAAGCGGTTTGATGTTTGCAGACATGAAAGCAGGACAACTTGCATCACGGGCCAAAAGTCTGTGCCCTCAGGCCCGCCAGGCACAAGCATCACCTGGTGGACTCAGAGCCCAGAGAAGGGGGTAGGGAGGGAGGGCCCTGGCACCCCAACCCCGCCCCAGCTGCCCCGAGGGAAGCGGAGGCGGCCGGGGATCTTCCTGGCACTGCCCCCCTTCCCCCAGCTCCCGGACGGCGCCCTGCCCAGCACTCCCCGTCCCCTCTGGCCCGCCTCACCCCTCCGCACCCGGTGCCCAGGCAGCTGAGGGCACAACCGTCCAGGCGGGGCGGGCACGGACACCAGTGTCCCCTGACATGGGGCCGACAACCCCCCTACCCCCCCCCCCGGCAACATAAATCCAACAGACCTTTTCTAAATTGTTAAAGAGAAAAAAAAAAAGACATTTATTGGAGCCCGAGTGGGGACAGCTGCCCCGGACACTCCAGCTCCGCAAAGCAAAGCGTGCTCCCGGGATGGAACATCCGGCGCAGGGTCACCTAGTTCTCCTACATGAGGAGCTACGCACAAACCGTCGAGACAAAGGACATTCCAGAAAGGTGCAGGTTTTTATCTTATGTTTCCAGTGTGTGCGAGGTTCTGTGACTTTCATCTTTATAGGAACTAGGGAGGTGTTTTTTTTTTCTTTTTCTTATCTTTATATGGGGAATGCTCCTTGTTGGGTATTATATATATATATTTTTAAATTTATTATTATTTTTTAAATGAGGCCGGTGTACACTGTGGGCTCGCGGCAGAAATCGTGGCCTTGCTTTGAAAAGTTTTGCCGGGTCATTTTGACCTTGAAAGTACAGCTTTCCCGGGCGCCAAGGAGCAGGGCGCACGAACGCTAAAAGGTGACCGTTCCCTCCATCGCCCCTAGACGGCCTTCGGCGCGGATCCGCTCCTGAGTGATTCCCTCCGGCTTCGGGAGTGGGGACGCTCCGGGATGCCAGCTTCCGGGACCTCTCGGAGCCGGTGGCGGTGGCAGGGGCTCCCCAGGGGGCGTCCTCTGCATGCCCCGGGCGGCCCGGCTCTTGCTACTGGGCGCAGCACCTGGCCAGCCCCGCGGGCACCCCGCTCCGAGCCAGCCCGGCCTCCCCGCTCTGCGGCCGGCCCTGCTTCCCCTCTTCTCTCCGCAGCAGCTCCCGGGCTGTGGAGGGACAGGACCGCGGTCTGGGAAGGAAGGACCCCGCCCAGCAGCCTGGGGACCCCCCCCCCAGAGCTGCCCTTCACCCAGAGCCACGAAGTTGGGGCCCCTGGCAATCGTGCTCACCCTGGGCCCCTGGAGACCTCCTGTCGGGTCCCCGGACCCCACAAAGCAGCCCAAGGGATGACCTCCCCCACCCCGGCCCTCCTGGGGGCCCCGCCGCTCACCTACAGCGCTGAAGACCTCCGTCACCTGGTGGTTTAGCTTGGCAGAGGCCTCCATGAACAGCAGCCTCTTGCTCTCTGCAAACTCTTTCCCTTCCTGCGGGGACAACAACCGAATTCCCGCTGTGGACAAACCACGCTTTCCGGGGACACTCGGTGGCCTTCTAAGACCCAAGAACCAGTGACGGGCCCTGGCGCTGCGTTTTGGTGCTCCTGGAGGGGCCCGGCCGGGAAGCGGGGAGGTGCTCCCCCTCCTCCAGCAGGTGGGCTCCCGCAGCAGAGCCCAGCACCCGCGACCCCCCAGGGGCTCCCTGTCTCCAGCCCCTGGCACCTGTGGGCTGTGACGTTGGGAAAACCAGGTGAGAAGGGAGGAACAGGGGAAGGAAAGCAGGAGAGGCCCCGATGGGAGCCCGCCTGCTGGGGGTCCCTGCTCGGGTTCTGCACGGGTTAGTGCTGCAGGGGTTCGGGGGGGGACCCTGATCAAGTCTGAGCAGGGTGTGTCCGCGGGGTACCGGCCCGAAGGCCACCCCATTGGGTCGCGGTTCTGTGTTGAGGCAAACGTGAGCGTGGGGAAGGCCGGGCGAGGGCCCACGCCCACTTGCGGTAGTTCTTTTGCAGCGCTTTTTCCAATTGTGAAACTACCGTAAAATGAGAGCCAAGAGCGTAATGCAGACGCTGTGCCGCACGTGAACCTTGTCCCTGCCTCGGCGGAGGCACCTGCTGGCCCCCCAGGGCTGGGCGCCCGTGTCCCCCCCCCCCGCCCCCCAAGGCCCGCCAGTGCTTGGGGGGAGCTCGGATAGAGAAGAGGCCCGGGCGGTGGCCCCGGGGCTGGGGGTCGGCAGTGCCGGCCTCGGGGGGGCTGTGCCTGAGCCCCCGCCACCAGGCCTCCCCCCATGGAGGGCGGGCTCAGTGCACGGTGGGGGTGCTGCTGCTGAGGCCCCTCACACCCCTGCCTCCCAGGGGTCCCCCCGCCCCGCCGACCTGACCTCCCCATACTCCTTCCACATCTCCCGACCTGCCCCAGCCCACAGGACTCCTCCAACGACCCCCGCTGGCCCCCACGTGATGGCCCATCCCTAATGCCACCCGCCAGGGTCGCTGCCCTGGAGAGCATGCACCTTCTCACTGCGGCGGGGAGCTCCCACCCTGCAGCCCACCCCCCGCCCCCCGCCCTGCCCTCCTGGCAGCACGCTCCGCTCCACGCGCCCTCCCCTCGGGCCCGCCCGGCGCCTTTCCTGATGCGGCCGCACATACACGCACGCGTGCACGCACACACATGCCACACACCCTCAATACACACACCTGCACACACTCCTAGGTACACACACACATCCTACACACACACCTGCACACCCTCTTATGTACACGCCTCCTACACACACGCACCTGCACACCCTTTTGTACACACACACCTCCTACACACACATCTTCTATACACAGGCACACACCTACCCACACACATACCTACATACCTTACTCTGCACACACCCTTATATACACATACCTCCCGCACACACACAGACACACGCACATACCTCCTATGTACACACACACACCCCTCCTGCACACACGCTGACACCCTTGCTCACTGCTCCGACTTCCCACAGCACTCTATGTGCATCTCTGCGGCATTTATTCTGTCTTTGGTCGATTTACAGAAGAACTACAGCTTTATTCTCTATTCCTCACTCAGTTCCTGGCAAGGAAATTTGGATTTACTCACCTGTCCCTTTATCAATAATTTGTTGAGCACAAAGACAAAGATCTGAAAACCACACAACTCTGCTTGGGAGAGCGGGGTAGGAAGGGCCATGGTGTCCCGGTGAGCCTGGGTCACCAGGCCGGGGCCCTCGCAGGCTGGCCGCAGGCATCTCCCCACTCCCTGGCAGACAGGCTGGGGGCTGGACCCCCTGCCAGCTCTCAGGAGGGCTGGCCTGGGGGTGCGCAAGGTCCTCCCCACCGGGGAATAGCCACCTGTAGACCTGATTTTCCAGGAAAGACCAGAAATCTTTGCCCAAAAGGGAAGTACACGTGTTTGTGAGTGTGGGTGCAAGTGTGCGTGATGGGCGTGTGTGGGCGTGCACGCACTTGGGCGGGGGACAAGGAACAGGTGTGCATATGAGTGGACACATGTGCTTTGGGGTCACCTCCCCTCCCCTCGGGAACAAAACCGCCCAGCCTGGACGACGGCTACCTGGAAGGTCACCTCCCGCTGCTCGCCGAGGTCCGTCTTGTTCCCGACCAGCATCACCACCACCTCCCCGGCGGGGACCTGCCGCTCGAGGTCCTGCAGCCACTGCTGCGCCTTGCAGAAGGAATCCTGGCAGGTGGCAAAGCTCAGCGTCAGACTCGTGCAGGGCTTCACCAGCTACGCCGGCAAACAGGCGGGTGTCGACGGCCGCACGGCGCAAAGGCATGTGCTCCAACGGGCGTGCGACAGGCCGTGCGACAGCCCCCACCAGGGGACTCGCCTCCAGGGCCCTGGGCCATGCCACAGCTCCATCTCCCCTAACAGGGCCGGAGTCTGGAGGCTACGGGTTGTTTGGGGTCAGACTCCAAGCTTCCGGGGCCCTCACTCCCGGAGGCCCCCAGGACCACTTAGTGCAGGGGAGTCTGGGCAAGTGGCTATTGCCGGCTCCTGACTAGGGGAACCTGCGGGGATCCTCACGCTGCAGCTGAGCTGCTCCGGAGGGCAGCCTCCCTCGCTGCCAGCCTAGCATCATGCTTGCCCCACCTCCACCCTCCACCCCCAACCCCCAGCCTGGGCTCTCTCCCTGCTCCCCTGCCCTCCCTCCTCCCCACCCCAACCCCACCAGGCTAATCCCCACTCCCCCCTCCTGTCCTGCAGGAAGCACCCCCACCCCAGGCTGAGCCTATCAACTCCCACAGGACTCTGCTCCTGCTCTAGGTCCCTGCTCACTCGTACTCAGCATCTACCCGGATGCACAGCCAGGGCCCAATTCCACGGGCACCCAAGGAATCGTGAGTGATGGGTGGTGGTGCACTATGCAGGGTGTTCTGAGAGCGCCGTGGAGGGGCACACACTCAACCGTGTGGCTGTAGGAGCAGGGGTTATCAGGGAGGGCTTCCTGGAGGAAGAGACCGACTTCCATGAACACATTTTCTAATAGTCGCGGCGGTTTTGCCACAAAGCACCAGCACGGGCTGGCCACAGAAGGCCTCCAGGAGACAGCATCCCCCGTGCCTGGTGCCCGAGAGCCCAGAAAGCTTGCAAAGGAGGGTGGGGACGCACCTGAGGCGAGCCTTACCCTCCTGGTGATGTCGTATACCAAGAGCGCGGCGTTGGCGCCCCGGAAGTACAGGTGGCAGATGCTGTGGTACTTCTCCTGGCCGGCCGTGTCCCAGATCTCAAACTTCAGAGACACGGCACCCAGCTCCACCACCTTTGTGAAGAACGCACCTAAACAGGAGCCCGGGGAGGGGGAGCGTCAGCTGGGGGCGCGGGGGGGCGCGGGCTTCCTCTGCACCTCGGGCTGGGCCCTCGTGAGCCCTGGGCTCTGCAAACGCGTCAGAGGGGCGTCAGCAAACCCCACTTCTGGAAGACGGTGGTTCCCGCAAGAAGCAAAGTGTCACAAGCAATTTGCTGCAGACCCGTTGTAGGTTCTGCGGAGGCTTCGGGTGGGAAGAGGAACTCCCGGGCCCCAACACAAAATCCCCCGGACCACGGGACGTGGAGGGGGCCTCTGACAACCACGGGTCCCGCGTGTCCCCACGGGCTTCCAGCGATGCAGCTGAGCCCCGGGGACCTCTAGAACCATCACACCCTGCCCATCGGCCTCTCAGAGGCCAGACCAACCGTGCAGGGAGGTGCTCAAGGTCACCCCGGCTCCCCCTCAATTCCCTCCTGCGTCCTGCTAACCTTCCGGCCTCGTGGACCCTCTCCCTGCCAACCTCCCTTCTCCACGGTCCCCACCTGGCATCACTTGTCCTCCCACCTATGTGTCTGCTGCCTCCAAGGGTGGCCGCTGGGCCCCCGCTCCCTTCCGAGGACCCGTCTCTGGCAGCCTCTCTGCACTCCTCGCGCACCTGATGGCGCACATAGACTTCTGTGTTCTCACCTGTCGCCCCCGGGGCCAGTGAGCACCTGGAGGGTGCTTGGACTCGTTGCCACCCCTGCTTAATAAGTACATGCAGGGAGGCCCCTGGGGGGCTCCGTGGGTGAGCATCTGCCCTCGGCCCAGGGCGTGATCCTGGAGTCCCGGGATCGAGTCCCACATTGGGCTCCCTGCGTGGAGCCTGCTTCTCCCTCCGCCTGTGTCTCTGCCTCTCTCAGAGAATAAATAAATAAAATCTTTTAAAAAAGAGAGAGAGAGTATAAACAGTCCCGGCTGGAGGGAGCATGAAATGGATACTGCACCTCTCAGGCCCCCCAGGGCTTCAGCCAGGGAAGCAGAGCAGGAAGGTGAAGGTGGCCGCTGGGCTGCCGCGCCCTCCCCACGCGGGGTGGCCACCAACCAGCAAATACGCACTCGAGCACTAGATGTCACCATTTCTCCAAAAGACGTCACTAGGGCCCTGAGGCCCTGGGAAATGGACCAGATTCCCAGGGGCTCTGGCCCCTTGGGGCCCCAGGGCGCGGGGTCTGTGGGGAGCCCAGCGGCCTTGGGGAGCTCCCTGTGGCTCCGGCCCCCGCGCCGGTCACAGCACTCTGCTTGGAGTTTCACCTCCCCTGCTGGGCCCTCTGCTGCCGTGGGACCGGGGCCTCCGTGGTGGCCGGGGGTGGCTGGGCCTGGCCGGGAGTTCCAAGGCTTCCCCGGTGTCCCCCAGCAGGCTGACCCCCAGGAGGCCGCGCTCACTTGGGACTCCCACTCTGGCCCTGCGTCGGGGACACGGGGTGGTCTGTCCCAATTATGACTCTGACTCCGGCACCCCCGGCTGGACGGGGTCGTGCCCGGAGGCGGCTGGAACACCGTCCTGGCTCACGCACTGTTCCGAGGGCTGAGCCCAGGGCCTGCGCAGTCCTCGGCTGCGGGGCCACCGCACACGGTCTCCAACAGACCCAGACCCCCTGGCGGGGACCCAGCGACCCCCACCCTCCTGAAGGCCTAACTTAGCTTGAAGGCAGCACCACCCGGGACAGGCCGACCCCTGCTCCCAGCCCTGCTCTCGGGACTGGACGGGGGCGGCAGGTGATGACCTTGAGCGGTAACAGGGGAACCCGAGCCTTCAGCGGCCTCGGGCCAGCCCCGCAAGGAGAGCCCACGGCAGGGAGGGGCCTACGTCCCCGCGCCACAGGGGCCAACCTCAAGGTGAGAGAACAAGCCGTTTACCCACGTGTCGGTCATTCGGCTCATATTCACTGAGAGTCTCTGGGGCCCACGGCCCCGGCACGCGCCCCCTCCTTTACTGCCCCAGCCACCTGCCGAGGGGGAGGTGAGCCCCGCATCCAGCTCCTCTGCTCACCGGAGCCACAACAAAAAGCCAGAAATTGAGCCGATGCCACGCGTAGAAACAAGAAATGGAAGCATCTGCCTTCAGGGGGCTTTTGAACAACACAGGCTGCATCTACACAAACGAAAGGAAGGTCTTACTCTCCTCATCTGAAAAAGTGGGAATATCGACCTTTATAATAATATGTGGTGATGTCATAACTGTAATAGCATAATAACAACTAAATAATATAGAATATAATGTCCTGATAAATGCATCATAATAACAAAATAATTACCTGCCTGATATTAAAATTATTAATTTTTAGAATGATGTACTAATTGTTAAATCCACCGCCACAGGTTGTGGCATCTTAAGGCGCGGGAGGGAGACCCTGAGAGGCAAGTGGACGAATCCAGCATTTCCACATGGGATTTAGCTCCTTGGGGCAAAGGAGGGCTTTTCACCTCTTTGTCCCCAGCACCCAGCACAGTTGCCGGCACCTAGTAGGTGCTCAGTACGTAGGCTCCAGCAGCACGGTTGGCAGCTGCTTGAATAAAGGATCGCCAAACTCAGCTAGAGGGTTGTGGCTCGATGCTAATCTGCCCACACAGGCACGCACGCCAGGCATGGTGGGCAGGAAGCAGACCCAAAGCACCAGCCCCGACACCGAGGCAGGGCCCTAAGCCTGGCTTGGGGAAGGAGGCGGGGAGGGCAGCCAAAGCTGCCCCGGAGGATGAGGGTGGTCCGGGGGCCAGGCAGAGGACCGTAAGTGAGAGAAACCACACCCAGGCCTGCCCCTCAAGCAATGACCCCCCCCACTCCGACCTGGGCCCAGGCTCCATCCACCTCCTGAGCCTAGCAGAACCTCTGAAGCGAGCGGGGCAGGGTGACAGCTTCATCCCTGACCTGCTGAAGGACCAGTGCAGGGTTCTGTGGGCAGGACAGGCCCTCACCCACCGTCCCGGTAGCTACCGCAGGCTGGGGAGCACCATCTGCCTGGCCTGGGAAAGTTAGGGACCTTCCCATCCACACAGAGCACCTGCACTCTCCCCAGGCCCCGCTGACTCTGGGCATCGGGCCCTCCGGCCCCCCAGGGAGGGTCCCAGTTGCAGCCCCCCACCTTGGACCCAGCGAGGGCGGATCCCACGGAGCCAAGTGTCCGGCCCACCGTGTGTCCACACCACCATCCCGGCCCCTCCCGCTGGAGCCTGAACAGTGGCCGCCCACTTCCTCTCAGGGGACTGGCGCCCTCCCGCTGACCGCTGGAGCAGGGGGTCCCGAATGTTTCTGGCAAAGGGTCTTCAGTAAATATTTTTGGCTTTGCAGGACAAGCCCTCACAGCTGCAACTGCCCAGCTGCGGCCTGGGCCTGAAAGCAGCCCGCAGGACATGCAAATGTGGTCGCCGGCCCTGTTCCTGGAAAACCTCATTTGCAAAATCAAGCAGAGACCTTTGAGCCCTAGGTTGCAGGCCCTCATCTTCCATGCGACCCCAAAGAGCTGCCTGGCCTGGAAGCTGCTGTCTCTCTTCCTCAGCTCGGCTCCACATCACCGGTTCACACCCGGTTCACACCAGCTTCACACAGTTCACTGGCAGGTCCACAGCCCTCGAAATCCCCACTGGGCCAGGCCCCCTTCTAGGGTCTCTGCTCTCAATGGAAGCCCCCATGACACCAGACTTAGCACATTGTTGTGTTTTTTTGTTTGTTTGTTTGTTTTAAGTCCAGTATCATGGCTGAGTCGTGTCACTTTCCCGTTGATGGAGACGGTCGCCCTGCACCCCCTCAGCCAGCCCCAACCTCTGGCTTTACTAGCTCTCCCCGAGCTCCCCATCCTGGAACCAGCCCCTCACCCCTCCCCTGCCAGGCTCACCACTAGTGCTGGGGCTCTGGGCCTAGCAGATCCCCGCAGCCCCCCATAGCCCCCGGGCACTCCTGGGAATCACCCTCCCGAGGAGCTGGCTAATTAATGCACACATCAAATTTAGCATTGTGTGTCTAGGTCCAGTGAGCCTGGCATCTTCTAGAATCTTCCACACCTAGTGCAGGCCTGGGCAGAGGCCATGCCCAGTAGGTACTTGCTACATGAGTGAAGAAGGTAGTGAATGAATGAATGAATGAATGAGTGAATGAGTGGACTCAACAAAGTGCTAAGCGGAAGGCTCATCCGTGGCGGAGTCCAAGTCTGAAGCCAAAGTTCTGGCTCCGAGGGTGGGATCCTTCTTTCGCCGTGCTGGCCACCCACCAGGAGCGTTGGCATGGAGCGCACATGTTGAATTTCTCTATTTTCTGTGGAAAACAGGATTTCTAGCCCCAGGCAGGATGTGAAGAGGCCAACAGCCCAGCAGATGCTCCAAAGACCCTTTCCCCCTGAGAGCCACGACACGTCACCTCTTTAACAAGCGCGGTAAGAGGGTCTTCCCTCCCTGCGACCGCGACCCCCTGCCCCAGTCCAGGCCAGGTGGTAAACTGAGACCAGGCAGAAAGGGAGCCACTTCAGTAAACGACCCAGGGGAGCGGCATTGGCAGGCAGGGTGAGAGGCCAGCTTGTAGGGCAGCTGAGAAGCAGAGCCTAGGGGGCCTTCCTCTGGGGCCCCCCTCACCACCCCTCACGCCAGCCCCTGGGGGCCCGAGGTCCTGCCCCTGAACCTCTGCCCCCTGCACCCTCCCGCTAAGCTGACACCGGTCCGAACTCTGGATTCCGCGTGTGTCTGACCAAGGTGGGCCTCATCCCCTCCCTGCAGTGCTGGGCGCAACCCCGGGCTCCGGGGTACCCTCCCCACATCGGGGCTGTTGACAAGGGGCGCGCTGTCCCGCGTCACTTACATCCCACGGTGGGCAGGATGCTCTTGAAGTCGTTCTTCACGTACCGGAGAGCCAAGCTGGACTTGCCCACGGAGCCGCTCCCCAAGAGCACCAGCTTGAACACGCAGGGCTGGCCCGGGGCAGCCCCAGGGCAGGGGACCCCTCCCGCCTCTGCCATGCCCTGCAAAGAGACAACACGTGCAGGGGGTTGAACGTCTGTCGCCAATCTTAGTGGCTTCACCCCCAGGCCCCGCTTTCCTGGTGGGAGGCAGGGAAGGGAGCTCAGAGGCTGGCGGCCTGGGCGGCTCCCCTGCCCCACTCCGCGCCCCGTCTCCTCACCTGCAGGGTGGGGTGAGCAGTGCCTGGGTGGCAGGTGTGCTGTGAGCCGCGCTTGGGAAGCGTCCTAAAGGTGCCCGGCGGGACCCACGGCACCCTAGGCGCTACATACCCTGAAAATAACCGTTGTGTGCTAGTTACCCTATTGGCCTGCTGCCCTCACGCCATTACTTCTCACTTTTTTTAAAAAAAATCTATTACTTATTCCAAAAAGCACCAGAATCACCCGAGAGGCAACGTGCTCTCTCCGTGGCGGCTCGTGGGTCAGAGCAGGTGTTTCGAAAGCATCTATCTGAAGACAAAGCCCGTGTTTCAAGGACCTCAGAACATCTCAGTCTTTCCCACTAGATCTAAAGCCTCAACCCCCGTAGAGATAAGCCGTGGAGAAAAACAGCTCTGGGATCAAAATAAATTTGGGTAAATCCTGCATATCTTTTTGTTACAGAAGATTTCTGTAATGGAGGAGATGGAGGCCGTCCCAGGGGGCCCCGTGCACCCCCGGTGCTTCTACAATAATGAGCTGTGGCCGACCTGGTTTCACCCACACCCCCAAGCCCCCGTCCACCGAACACTGGCGTGAAGCAAACCCCGGACATCCTGTTGCTCCATCTGCAAATCTCAGTCTATAGGCAGTATAGGCAGGGAGTCTTTTTTTTTTTTTCCCCTTTGTAATTAATTTGTTCGAGAGATCAGATTGTCCTGCAACTCTGCGATCTGGATTTTACTGATGGTTTCCCTGTTGTTACCATGTCCCATGAACCCTGTATTTGCTGTAGCTCGGTGGTTAGAACACAAGTCTGATCAGACACAGGCTATCGGGGTGCCTGGGGGGCTCAGCGGTGGAGCGTCTGCCTTCGGCCCAGGGTGTGACCCCAGGGTCCTGAGATCGAGTCCCACGTCGGGCTCTCTGCAGGGAGCCTGCTTCTCCCTCTGCCTGTGTCTCTGCCTCTCTGTCTCTCTCTCTCTCTGTGTCTCATAAATAAATAAACAAAATCTTAAAAAAAGAAAAAAAAAAGCTATCTTTTGGCAAGGATGCTTCCTGAGTGTGCTCTGCATTTCGTCAGGGGGTAAATGATGGCCAAGCGCACGGGGGGGGGGGGATGCTAGGGGTCCCTGAAGACTGTTTCCAGAGCCACTGTTCCACTGGGAGCAGACTGGTGACGTTTGAATGTCACCACTTTGTCTCTGTTCATGGTCTGGGTCAGTTGTAGGAAGAAAACCTTCCCCTAAAAGACATCGAAATTACCCCCGGGGCAGGCAGTCCCGGGAACAGTCCCCTCTCCCTCCTCACTCAGTGGGCAGGCAGGAGGGGGGCCCCACGGGTGACGGGAATGAAGGAAAGGAGGGAATTTCCAAGAGGAACAGAGAGAGCAGCAAACCGGGTCCCCACCCCCACCCTCCCTCCGCAGCAGCTGTCCCCTGTCTGGTCTGCCTGCAGGGATGAGAGGGGAAGGAGCCAGCTCGGGATCAAAGTCCCAGAACCAGCAGGGCTGAGTCCTAAACAACTAAGGAGACTGTTCTAGAAGGGAAGTGACCAGGGAGTTACAGGGTCTGAGAGAAGGATGCGGGGCTGCCGCTGGCCCTCGGGGACAGGGGGCCCGACACAGCAGAGCCGGAGTCGTCGGAAGGCGTGAGGAACCCCTGCTTATGCGAGATTCACGAGTTCCGCCATCGTGCATGATGCTTACAGGGTCAACGCCTGATGTTTCCGAGGGGATCAGAGAGATGAAGTGTTTTAAATTTTCCATCGGTGTTTTTCTGAAGCGGACACTGGGGAGCTGCCGGCTTCCACGGAAGCTGCTAGATCTGCTCCGGCCTCTCTGTCCTACTGACACAAACCTCCATCCTGCCACGGCTGCCACCCCTGATCACACGATCAACCCTGTTGATACCCGGTCCCCATCACAGCAGTTAATAAAATAGATAAAAGTCTCTGCCATCGGGCAGCCCGGGTGGCCCAGCGGTTTAGCGCCGCCTTCAGCCCAGAGTGTGATCCTGGGGTCCCGGGATCGAGTCCACGTCGGGCTCCCTGCAGGGAGCCTGCTTCTCCCTCTGCCTGTGTCTCTGCCCCTCTCTGTGTCAATCATGAATAAATAAATAAAATCTTAAAAAAAAAAAAGTCTATGCCATCATGCTGCCTGCAGTCCCCCGTCCCTCTTCTTGATGGAAATGATCCTGGTTTTTAACTGCCTTAACTCATAGAACTATTTTTTAATGACTTATGTCTCTTGCTGGACTGAACCTCTCATGAGACCCACTTTACACAATTATCTTATTAAGATCATCTCACACGCACCAGGCTGTAACCTCTCATGAGGGCAAGGATGATATTCATTGATCACATGGTAGGTGCTTAATAAACATCTCATGAGCACACTCAGGAGTGGCTCAGCAAAAAGCCATAGTCGGGGGCACATGCCGTTTCCACCACACGGTTTGCACGGCCGGCCAAACCCCAGGCAGCTTGCCTCGCAGGGAACCGGGGTACCTGCAGGAAGGCTGAGCAGAAGAAGCACATCCCGCGGGCCCCGGGAGCCGCTCCATGCAGGTGGCTCAGCCCTGAGCGGCCAAGGAAAGCTGAACGCTTTTGCTTTAAGGTTGTCACCTTGCACGGATGCTTGGAGGAGGCCATGAGGGTGGAGGTGCCCCCGCCTCACAGGCCATCTCAGTGGAGGAGTGGGACGGACATGCTCACGCAACCCTGCCGGCTCGGGCCACACAGGCTGCCGGTCTAGACACCTCCAGGGGTCCCGGGGTTACCCACCCCCATTACGGAGAGGCCGGCAGCCTTTCTCAGACAAAGGTACAGAATCCGAAGCCAGAGCAGGCCGCGTTCACATTCACACTGGCTTCCCGGGGCACTAGCGCGGTCCCAGCCACTTGCAAGAGCGCCAGCTTGCGCTTCCCACGAGGTGTGGTGGCCCCCCGGGCGCCCCCAGCCTGGCTCCTGGCCCACGGCAGTCAGCTCAACAACGCACCCTAACTTAGAAACTCCTTTCTTTCTTTTCTTTCTTTCTTTCTTTCTTTCTTTCTTTCTTTCTTTCTTTCTTTCTTTCTCTCTCTCTTTCTTTCTTTCCCCAAACTCCGAGAAACAGAGTAGAATGCTGGTTATCCAAGGCTGGGCGCGGAGAAGGGAAGAGACCAGAGAAAGGGTGCAAACTCCCGGTTCGGAGACGAACACGTTCCGGGCATCTGACGTACAGCATGGGGTCAGGGCCCGCGCTACTGAGTTACATACTCTCAGGAGGGCCCTGAGACGGTAGATCTTAAATGTCGTCAGTGCCAGAAAGACACAGCGAGGATGAGGCAGGATGGGGCTTGGGGCGGCAGCTAACAGCGCGCGGTCATCACGTCGCGACGCATCGACGCGCCAAATCCGCACCGTGTGCCTCTCGAACTTACGGGGCCTTGGATGTCAGGTGCAGCTCAACCACGCTGCAAAGAAGAAACCCCTGTAAGGACGGACCGTCCCAGCTCTCTGCGGCACCCCAAGCTGTTACGCCGTTTCAAGCCAGAAGTACTTAAGGCTCCTGCTTAGAAGCAGGTGGCCCGTTGATTTGTGCTGTGATTTTGCACAAAGTCCTAACACACCCACAGCGATGCACTCTGGAGTGTTTAAAGATCCCCCCTCAGGTTCTCTTTGCTATTTATGCGCTCGGAATAATAAAGCTCTTAAGGCTAGAAAATCTTTAGCCCAAGACACGTCTGAATCAATCAAAACAGGTGGACTATGAATGAATACACCACTCCCACGATACCACATTCCAGCACGCTGTCCCTCTGGCAACGATACATCTCTTTGTTTAAAAATAGTATTTTGCTATAAGTATAAACACGTCGTTGTCAGTATGAAAAAAAATTAAATCACCCATAATCCCACACCCTTAATATAGCCAGGAAAGGCATTTTGCCTCTTTTCTTGTTGGGTTTTTTTTTTTTTTTTTGCTATGAATCCTAAAAACAAACAAACCAAAACCCATAGCTCTAACATAACATTATGCATCCTACCTTTAAAAAATCAATACACAAAAAAAAAATCCAATATGCATAAAAATCAGCTTTCCGCATAGCTGCGTGTGTTCCAATGCATTCATCGTAATATGTTTAATGACCACAAAACATTCCTACAGCTTTTCCACTTTGCTAAACCATTTCCCAGACACTGGATTTTTTTCTTGGTCATAATTGTCTCTCAGTAATATATTAGACTACAGAAAGCACTATTGTGTTTAACTTTTTGTGTGATTACATGTTGTACGCTTCTAATAATCAGAGGCTAGAGCCCTCTATTCTGGGAGAAAATTGAAAATGTGACTTCTGACCCTGCCTCTAGAATTTAATCAAGAGGGGGTCATCTGAAGTCTTTCTAAATACAAAGCTGTCTTCAGGATCGGGACAGTCACGGTTAGGGGAAGCGACACCCTCTGTAGCATCTTCATTTGGAGCTTTTTACGATTTCTTACCAGCTCATCTCCTTTCCACCAAAGGGAAAAAGAAAGGATCGCAAATCCAAACCAGTCCTTCCACGGGGTGGAGGGGGGGGGCGTTTCAGGGAAGGGTCTACAGCGCTGTCCTCCTTGCCCCGGGGCGTGCGGGACACCGAGATTAGCGGGGGCTGACAGCATCCTGATCCATCCCAGACCGATCCCTGGAGGGGCTCCTCTCCCCCGCCCGCAGGTCACAGGCGAGGCCTGGAGCTGGACTTTCTCCAAAAGCCACTGTGTAAACAAGCATCTCCTTCCGGGAACCTGACCCAGCCCGCCACGGGGGATCCCAACAAGGGCGTGTCCGGCCCCCGGGGGAACAAACCCTCCACCCTACACTTTGCCCTCTTGATTATGTGCACGAGGACAGAGGTACAGACGGACATACACATACACGTGTGTATACGTGTGCCCGCAGACACACACACACATACATGTATCCAGAGACACATGCATGCATACGTGACCACACAGAGACACACACGTGCATACATGTACATGCAAACACAGACACACGCTCACACAGGTGCATACATGTCCACACAGAGACACACACAAAAGTATAGAGACACACAGAGATACACAGACACATATAGGCACAGAAACAAACACACAGAGACACACACACACAGACACACGCAGTCACGAGCACCTGCATGTGCACACACACACATTCCCACACACTCTGCGAAGTGCACAGAAATTGAAACAATGACTCACGCGTTCCCCGGGCTCGATCACCTCCGGGAAGCCTGACAACTTGTCATCACCGGGTCCTGCAGGACCCCTGCCTGTGTCCCCTTTCTCCCTCCCGTGGCCTCGGGGGCAAGGTCTGCTTCCCCCCACGAGCTGGTGGGGATGGTGGTGGCCGCGCCGCAGAGGTTCTGCTCCGACAGGAGACAGGTAAGGAGCAGCAGCAGCTCTGGCTCCAGGGAGGCCCGCTCCCCACCCCCACCCCGTCCCCTGCCCCCCAGTCCCCAGGTCAGGTCTCCTCCTCCAGTCCAGGGGAGGCTCTCGGGCAAAGTCCACAGTGGTCATGTGTCACCTGGGACAGGGCGGGGCGAGGAGGCTGGACTGGAAAGACGAGGCCGCCACAGGAGCACCGGCGCCCCAGGGAAGCCAGACAGACTCCCATCTGGTGGTTGGGGGTCCCCCAGCTCCAGGGAGTGTCTCAGCTTCATGCTCTGCCTCTCATCTCAGAGCCTAGGGTTTCCCCTCGGCTCCTTCCTGGGAGCAGCACGGATCTTTGTTGCACTGGAAACTCCAAGCCCAGGAAAAAAAGGATGTATTTTGGTCAAATGAATTTATTCCCGGAGCCTGCTCTTGTGCGGCCCTGTGCCCAGAGCCAGAGGCAAGCCAGGGCGCGCTGGTCCTGGGTCCTGGGTCCTGGGGTCCTGGGGTCCTGGGGTCCTGGGATCCCGGCCTGGGACACCTGGGTCCTGGCTGGAAGCCTCAGCAAGGAAGCTCTGTGATCCCCGCATGCGCCCTCCTGGGTTTGCCTCCACCCTGCAGCTCCTCCCGGGATGGGAAAACCCAAGGCAGGACAGGCCCAAGGGCCTCCTGTCCCTGGAGCTGCCTCAGGGGGACACTCCTCCTGGGTTCCCACTCGCCCCAACCGCCATCCTGGGGCCCTGAGGTCTTGTGTTGGGAGGGCTCTGTGCTGGGTTCCACAGGGATGGGGGGTTTAGCTCTGGGCTCCGCAGGGATGGGGGGCTCCGTGGGGATGGGGAGCGCCGGGATGGGGGGACTCTGTGCTGGACTCTGCGGGGATGGGGTGCTCCGCGCTGGGGTCCGCGGGGATGGGGAGCTCCACACTGGGCTCTGCCGAGATGGGGGGCTCTGCGCTGGGTTCCACGGGGATGTCCCTCCCACCACCCCTTCAGGACCAGCTCCTCTCTGCTGCACCCACACCACCTTGGGGGCTAAGGGCTCCCTCCTCCACACGGTCCTTCCCTCTAGGTCGTGGCCACCTCCCTGAATCCCACCAGCAAGCTTGGCCCGGCGCCGCCCTGCACTCGGAGACTCAGGAGCTCTCCCCCCTTGCGAATGGCATCCTCAGCCCCCCACCTGCAGACAGGTAACGCTCTGCCTCCAGCCCGTACGGTGGAGGGTCCAGTTTTGAAATAGATGAGTGCGTTTTTCTGTTTCAACCTGGATGGGCTTCGCCCCACTCACGGTGAAGCACCCACCTTCCCGCAGGTTGGGGGAATGGGGCGCACAACGAGAGGGAGCTGTAAATGCCAGGAACAGGGACGAGATGGTTAATAGTCAGCATCTGACATCCAGACCGGGGCTTTGTGCCTGCAGTCAGACGTGGATGTGAAAGCCAGGCCGGCCCGAGAAGAGATTTTCGGAGTCCGTTCAGCTCCCACGTGACTCCCCAGCTGCCCAGAGATTATATTACTGAGGGTCCCACCGGAGGCTCAGAGCCGCGTCTTCATGCCTGGCATGGAACACAGGGTCCGCGGGTCGGGGGTGGGGACACAGCTTCCTGGATCCTCTGCTGAGGGTCGCACAGGCTGTGGCCAGGCTCTCTGGAATCCAAGGTCCTTTCCCAGCTGGTCGTGGGCAGCATCAGCTCCCGCTGTTGTAGGACTGAGATCCTGTTCTCCGGCGGGGGGTCTCCCGGGGTCCCCCGCGGCTCTTACAGCCCACCTGCAGGTCCTTGTCATGTGGCCCCTCACAGGGCCGCTCACACCTGCCAGCTCACCCTTTCAAGGCCAGCAGAGAAGTTTGTCTGCTTCCAGACCCTCTTAGAAAGGCCTCGCCTGATGAGGTGAGGCCCACCGGGCACGTGTCCCGTTTCACTAACTCAAAGTCAACTGATGAGGGACCTTAATCATGTCTGCAAAAACCCCTTCACCTTTGCCATATGACACAACCTAAATCGAGAGTGACATCCATCTTATCCGCAGCCCTGGCACCCTCGGGGGCAGGGGTGGACACCACGGGCCAGCCGTCCTGAGAGCCATACTAGAACCCTGCTCACCCTAGTGCCTGAGCTAAAGCCCACACCCTGCCCAGCTGACCCAGGGGGAAAGCTCCCCACTGGCACACTGCTGGTGGAAGGTGGGGAACCACCTGCCAGCCCCGGGGTTCAGTCCAACCCCAAACAACCTGGTCCCTTCCCACCCCACAGGGCCTTTTATCCTGCATGGTTCCTACCCTGGCTGGGTCTTTCTCCTACAGCCTGCAGTTCCTCCCACAGGGAGCTCCCGGTCACGACGGGTCACGGGTCACGACCGGGTCACGACCTCTCCACATCTATTCCTCACCAGAGCATCCCAAATGTCCCTTTTATCTCTGTAAGATGCTCTCACCGCAGAGACATCCACCAAGAGAGAGAAACCTACACACTCGTGTTTAAATCTGAAGATGGGGTCGGGGGGGCTGGGTGGTTCAGTGGGTTAAGCATCTGCCTTCGGCTCAGGTCATGATCCCAGTGTCCTGGGATCGAGCCCCACGTCAGGCTCTGTGCTCAGCAGGGAGCCTGCTTTTCCCTCTCCCTCTGCCCCTCCCCATGCTCATGTGCTCTTGCTCTCAAATAAAATCAATCAATCAATCAATCAATCAATCAACAATTCTGAAGACGCATTCCCACGGACATCCCGTCAGGCCCAGGCGCAGAGAAAGTCCCTGACGGGGAGGATCAACACGTGGAGCCCGTTCTGCCCATAACCCCACTGTGTACAGCATTGTGCAGGCCAGGATCGCGCTGCCTGTCGTGGAAATTAGACAAAAATGGTACATAAGCAATTTGCTAATGTGACCACCGTTAATACAATCCCGATAGAGCCTCGCCAACTTTTTAGCTTTCTCTCTTGGCATTTTATCAACTTTCCCGCGTTGGCATTAACAGAGAGAACCCTTGCTGTGCCACTTTATCAGGCCACATATACGAGGACACCCGTTCACAGCCACACGTGTGCCTTTTGGAAGGAATCCAAAATCCTAGAATTTTGCAGCCGGGAGGGCCCCTGGGGACTGTCTGGTCTGAGCACCCCTCGAGTGTCAGGAGACTCTCTGCAGGACCCCTGCCAACCTGCCAGCTGACTTTCCAGTCTCGGGTCCCGTATCCCTGGTGCGAGGGGCCCTCTGCTCCCCAAGGTGGCCCCAGCCCGCGGGCTCCTTCCCCTGCAGACCAGCCGTTGGTGCCCTGCCACCCGTTGGCCTTGCTGGGGTCACGTGGCAAATGCCTGACCCGCTGCCACAGACACATTTCTGAGATTTTCGAAGCAGTTATCAAGGTAGCTGCAGACACTGCCAACAACCTGCCCAGACCCCACACCCCCAGCAACCAGTGAAGAGGCCACCAGGGTGCCCCAGATGGTTCCCACCTCTCCTTCCCTAGAGGAGTGGCCCCGTGACCCGTCTGGGGACCTGTGGGGAAGAGGAGCTTCCCCTTCCTCCTTGGGCTTCCTTATGGAGCCGTGGTTATGGACCAGACTCAGAGTGAGAGACGGCCTAAGGACACCTTCCAGAATGTCCTTATCTCCTAAGGCCTTTGAGATAAGCAGAAAGGGTCGCCTGCCTTGCCTCAGAACCTTCACCCTTGCTTATCTCAATGGAACATTCCAGCAGGGACTTCTGAACAGCAAGTTAAATTCCTCAGCTCAGCAATCAGTTGGGTGCTTGGCTGCCGGTCAGGCTGGGCAGAGCCGACCAAGCAGAGTCCTGCCCCGGGGCGTCCAGGATTCACAGGTTGGGACAGGAGCCTGCTTCCTACCAGGCCCTGCAGGCCCAGCGAGGGCGGGCACGGGAGACCGGCTCACCTGGCCGGGTGGAAGGGGACGGGTCAAGGCAGACTCCTTCGAGGAGGAAACGTTTGACCACTGAAGATGGACCAGAAACTTGCCTAATGCCTGGAAGAAGGAGGGCTTTCTGGAAGGAAGCAGCCAAGCAGTGTGAGGGTGAAAGCAGTGCCTGGGGGGCCGCAGGGGAGGTTGACTGCGAGCCCAGGATCTGGGGTGTGTGGCCCGAGGCCGGAGGGTGGAGATGCCTCATCCTGTTCCTAACAACTAGAAACAAAAAAAATAAAGTAGCTGCCTCTTATGGAGCACTTACTATGTGCCGGGCACTGTGCCCATCCTTGACTTGGGGTCCTTTTTTTTTTTTTTAAGATTTTATTCATTTATTCATGAGAGACACAGAGAGAGAGGCAGAGACATAGGCAGAGGGAGAAGCAGGGTCCCTGCAGGGAGCCTGACGTGGGACTCGATCCCGGGATCCCGGGATCATGACCTGAGCCAAAGGCAGATGCGCAACCACTGAGCCACCCAGTCGCCCCTTGACTTGGGGTTCTGATCTCATCTTGAGCCTCACAGCAAACCCCCCCCCCACCGGGAGCCACACCCAGAGGGCCCTCCACTGGCCCTCACCCCACTGTGCCCCTTCTTGGGAGTGGGAAGGTCACAGGGCCCCCACCTCCAGAGCACACTCCCAGATCCGGAGACGAAGAATTCCGTGCCCAAAGAACCTGCGTGGGCCTCTGCACTGGGTCCACCCTCCCAAAGCACACCATGCCACCAGCATGGACCCCCAGGCCCCTTGTGACCAGGAGGCCGTCAGTGGGCAGTAGGGTTGGAGCATGGGCCTGTGGCTGGGCAGGTGCCCATATGTCAACCCCAGTGAGAGACAGACACAGGTGGGGAGCAGAGGAGGCCAGTGGGGCTGGGCCGTCACGCCCCGACCAGCCCTCCAAGGAGCCCTTGGCTTCTAAATCCAGACGCGGGCTTCTGGATTATTTGGAAGGTATACCTGTTAAGGTAGGAGGGTGGGACATGTTTTATTCAACAATGTGTGTGCCTGGCTTCATTTATAAGTTTTAAGTACTAAGATATAGGGTATATGGAGCACATTTGTATGCCGGTCCCAGTCCCTGCAAATATGAGGGGCAAGCCTGATTGGTTTCTTTCTTTCTTTTTCTTTTTTTTTCT